CTTGCCCCCTCCTCGCTCTGCTGCGCTGGGTTTGGGGCGCTCACCCCAATCCTCTAACAGGGCTGGGAACCAGGATGGAGATTCCCAGTTCATCCCAAATCCATCAGCAATCCAGGATGGAGATTCCCAGTTCATCCCAAATCCATCACCAATCCAGGATGGAGATTCCCAGCTCATCCCAAACCGATCATCTCTGCCCAAGGATGGAGATTCCCAGTTTATCCCAAATCCATCATAGCCCAGGGATGGGAATCAGGGTGGAGATTCCCAGCTCATCCCAGATCCTCTCCCAGTGCTGGGAATCAGAACTGGAGATTCCCAGCTCATCCCAAATCCGTCATTGCTGCCCAGGACGGAGATTCCCGGTTTATCCCAAATCCATCATCAGTGCCCGGGATGGAGATTCCCGGTTTATCCCAAATCCATCATTGCTGCCCAGGGCTGGGAACCCCCCCTGCCCCAGAGTGCCCGGGCCCCCCCAGATCTGTGGGATTATCCCTTGGGAGCCTCCCCGGGAAGGAGATTGCAGCTCAGGCCTGATGGAAGAAGATGGGATTAAAGGGAAATGATGACAATTCCTTCAGCCGGGCCGGGAACGAGCTGGGGATTAACGGCCCCGCGTTTCCAGCAGCTCCCAAACCCCGCGGGGCAGTCCCGGATCCTGCCATCCCAGGGTGACATTGGCAGTGCCACTCCCAGGGTGACATCGACAGTGCCACTCCCAGGGTGACATTGGCGGTGCCACCCACAGGGTGACATTGGCAGTGCCACTCCTAGGGTGACATCGACAGTGCCACCCCAGGGTGACATTGGCAGTGCCACCCCCATGGTGACATTGGCAGTGCCACTCCTAGGATGATATCGAGAGTGCCACTCCCAGGTGACATCGGCAGTGCCACTCCCAGGTGACATTGGCAGTGCCACCCCCATGGTGACATTGGCAGTGCCACCCCAGGGTGACATCAGCAGTGCCAACCCCAGGTGACATTGGCGGTGCTACCCCCAGGGTGACATTGGCGGTGCCACCCCCAGGGTGACATCGGCAGTGCCAACCCCAGGTGACATCGACAGTGCCACTCCCAGGTGACATTGGCAGTGCCACTCCCAGGTGACATTGGCGGCGTCACCCCCATGGTGACATTGGCAGTGCCACCCCCCTGTCCCAAACAGGCTCCATCCCTGCCCACAAACACCACACAACCATGGCAATTTCACACCACACAATATTTTCCTTTTTTTGCCGGGTAGAAAATCTGAAATATTCCACCGGGGAATAAAAACACGGCAAATTAAAAACTTCTCTGGGAAAGAAAAAAAAAATTAAAAAAAAAATTTAAAAAAAAAGGCACAGAGGCCTGGAATAAACCTGAAAGGCTCCTTTTCTCAGAGCCTTGGCTTGCACACCCTGCAATTGGCTGCTTCCCTGGAATAGATTCCGTTGCTAAGAGACCAAGTTTGCTTTTAACGAACCCCAGAAAATTAATGGTATTCAGCAGATAAGTCCTTAAAGTGGAACCTATTTTAAGCAATTCCTGCTAAATGGTTTACAAGGCGTCAGGAGGGAGGGGAGGGTTCCTGGAGCCCATCCCTCCCCTGGCTGGTCCCAGCTGGGATTTGGGGTTTGGGGTTTTTGGGGTTGGCAGTGGGAGAGCTGAGGGTGGCACCGTTTGTGTGTCCCTCCCAGGGTGGCACAGCCGCCCCTGGCTGTCCCCAGCTGTCCCCACCAGCCAGAGGCTCCTTCCAGCCCCAGAACCTCGGGAATTCTCTGCCCAAACCCTCACGGGAGCCGCGGGATCAGAGCTGGGGGAGCCGGGGGCGGCAGAAGGGAAACGCTGCTCCCACAGCCCTTGGGCAGAGCTGGGGGCACAGGGAAGGGTCCCCATGCCCACCCAGGGTGGCAGCACCCCCAGGACACGGCACATTCCCCTCGGGATCGGGGTGTCCCCAAAGGACACATCAGGGGCACGGGGAAGGGTCCCTGTGCCCACCCCGGGTGGCAGCACCCCCAGTTCAGGGCACATTCCCCTCGGGATCGGGGTCTGCCCCAAGGACACATCAAGGCCGCAGCGCTGCCATTCCCAGCCCCAGCCCGTGTGGGACCCCCACGGGGCACGGGGGGATTGGGAATTGCTTCCTCTTCACCCCACAGCACATTTTGGGGTGTCTGAGGCCGTCCCTGCTCCATCCCGCACCACAAACACGGCCCAGGTCCTCCCTGCCCAGGAAAGGCCCCGAACTGGGTGAGGCCAGGGTGTCCTGGGGTGCAGGATCAGTGCCAGGGGTGGGCCCCAGGGAGGGATCCAGGACAGGGAATCTGCTCCTCTCCTGGCCAAACCTGTTGACTTCCCCCCAAATTCCTCCTCTGCTGCAGCCTTTGGGTGGAAGAGGAGACACAACCTCCCCTGGCAAGGCCTTCCTGGGCTTCCCAGCAATAACGGGGCACAGATCAGCCTTTGGGGTCACCCCTCGGAGTGGCACTGAGGGCTCTCCCTTGGGCTGCACCCCAAAGCCCCCCTGGCATTCCCAGCAATAATGGGGCACAGATCAGCCTTTGGGGTCACCAAACCCCCCTGGCAAGGCCTTCCTGGGGTTCCCAGCAATAACGGGGCACAGATCAGCCTTTGGGGTCACCACTGAAAGTTCTCCCTCGGGCTGCACCCCAAACCCCCCCTGGCAAGGCCTTCCTGGGGTTTCCAGTAACAATGGGCCACAGATCAGCCTTTGGGGTCACCAAACCCCCCTGGCAAGGCCTTCCTGGGGTTCCCAGCAATAACGGGACATAGATCAGCCTTTGGGGTCACCCTTGGATCCGTCCCTCACCCCAGCACCGTCCTTGGGGCCGGCCCCACAGGGCAGCCCCACGTCCCCGGTGCAGAGAGGAGCAGCAGGGAAGGAGGGTCCCAAAGCCAGGGGGATCCTGGGGGGATCTGGTGCCCCCAAATCCCCCTCTGGAAGAACAAAGCTGCGATCTCTCCGCAGACGCAGCGAGAGCGGCGATGATTTCTTTCCCTTCCCCGGCAGATAAATCGGCCTCGGAACGGGGCTGGTGCTAAATTAAAATTTGCATGCTGTAATATATTTAAGCAACTTTCCTTCCACTCGGTTATAAACAGCATTTCTCAGGGGGGGTCTCTCGGAGCTGGCCCCGTTTCATTTATCTGCGGCGCCAGTTAATTGTCGGGGTGGAAATTAAAACCATAGCGGCAAAAAAAAAAAATTAAAAAGAAAAAGAATTTAAAAAAAAATTTTAAAAACTTTAAAGGAAAATAAATTTAAAATTAAAAAAAATTAAAAAGAAATTTAAAATAAAAAAATAATTAAAAAGAAAAAAATTTTAAAAATAAAAAAGAGGAAAAATTAATAAAATAAAAGCACAGGGGTTGGAGGTTGGATGTGAAATCACCAGCCAGGCACAGGCACCTGCTCTGGGCCTGGGTAAAAAGCGACAAAAGGTAAAATTCCACACAGGCAGCGGGGCTGGAGGCTCAGGGAGCCCGGAGGGCAGCGAGGCCCCCGATCCTGGAGGACGGTGAGGGGGTTTTTACATTCGGTTCTCTAGCTTTATGATATCACATACACTCATACAGCTAGATAACCAAAGAGAAAAACCCGCCCAGCTCTGCGGCCGTCGGCGCCCCGGCTCTGTCCCCTCGGTGCCACCGCGATGGAATCCCAGGGTGGCACGGCAGGGATGGGCTGCGGTGCCATGGAATGTGGCACGGCCACCCCCGGTGCCCACCCCAGAGCCACAGGGGGATGTTGGTGCCCCCAAAAGGAACCGGACCCCAAAGTGGGCTCAGCCTGGGGATGGGACGGGGCAAGGATGGCACGGGCCAGGGGTGACACAGGGCAGAGGTGGCACATGGGACAGGGGTGGCACAGGACAGGTGTGGCACAAGGCAGGAGTGGCACAGGACAGGGATGAGGCAGGGGTGGCAGGGAGTGGGATGGCACAGGGGTGGCAGGGAGTAGGATGGCACAGGACAGGGATGAGGCAGGGGTGGCAGGGAGTGGGATGGCACAGGGGTGGCAGGGAGTAGGATGGCACAGGACAGGGAAGGCATGGGGCAGGGGTGGCACAGGACAGGGGTGGCACAGCACAGGGGTGGCACCGCGTGCCCCCCCAGGAACAGCCCCACAGACAGGCCCAGGGCGCTGCCAGGTCCGTGCCAGCTGCTGATCCTTGGCAGCCCCAGACTCGCCCCCAGCTCCGGCCCGCTCCCACCCGGTAATTCCCGGAGTTACCGGCACGGAACTGCTGAGTCAGGAAAGCGCCCGGCCAAGGGACGGGCCCAGCCCCAAAGGACCCCCGGGTCCCCCCGCGCTCTTCTTCTCTTCCTCCCCTTCCTCCCACAGCCGCTCCCGGCCCCGCAAACCCGGCAGGGACCCCGCACCTCCCGCGGCTCCGGGCCGGGAATTGCCCGGGGGTCACCCGGGATGGCCCCGTCCCCACCGGGGGCTCCGGGCAGGGCCCCGGTACCGGCGGGGCCGTTCCCGGGGAGCTGCGGCCGCTCGGGGGGAATCGGCGGAGCGGCTGCCCCGGTGCCCAGCGGGAGAGCCCCGGCAGGGTCCCGGGGCGGGGGTACCTGCGCATCCCGCGGCTGCCGACGGCTCCGGTCAGCGCTTCCTTCCCGGGCTGGCGGGGAGCGGAGGGGGCTCGGCCCGAGACGGGGATCGGAATGGGGACGGGAACGGGGACGGGAACGGGGATGGGGACGGGAACGGGAATGGGGACGGGAACGGGGACGGGATGGAGATGGGAATGGGGACGGGGATGGAGACGGGGATGGGGCTGGGGAAGGGGAAGGGGGTGGCCATCCCCGCCCGGTGCCGGTGCCGGTGCCTCTCCCGCCGCCCGGCGGCTCCGGGCCGTGCCTCTGAAGTTGAGGCAGGGCCGGAGTGGCCGCGGGGCGGGGAGCGGGGGAGGGCCGGGGCGGCCGGCGGGGACAAAGCCCGAGCGGCGGGGCTGGGACGGCCCGGGCGCGGGGCCGGGGCAGGGGTCACCCCCCGGGCGGGGCCGCGCCATTCGCCACGGCCGCCGCCGTCCCCGGGGGCCGCTCCGTCTGCTCGGGCCGGGCCCCGCCGCCGCCGCAGCCGGCCCGCCCCGTCGGGGAGGCGGCGGCGCCCCGGGGGTAACCCCGCTCGGGCCGGGCGCTGCCGGGGGCCGGGCTGGGCTCAATGCCCGTGCCCGGGGAGGAGCAGCGGCCCCGGGGTGCGGGGCGGCGGGGCCCGTCCCTCCCCTCGGGGCTGCGCTCCGGGAGCCGCTCGCAGAGGGAAATTTGGAGGATGCTCGGGGGTCAAGCGAGGCTCGAACCACCCGTTATCCCCGGTGGAACGGAGCCCACCGACGGGCCCGGAGAAGCCTCCCTGGGCCGGGAGAAAGCGCGGCCGCGGCTCGGAGGGCGGCGGGGCAGGCCCGGGGCGCGGGGCCCAGCTCCGGCTCCACGTCCCCCCCGTGCGGCCGCCCGGGGCCGGTCCCGCCGGCGCTGCCCGGTGCGGGGGCCGCGCTCCGCTCTCCCGGGGCAGCGCCGGCCGGGGCGGGGGCACCGGGGCCTTTCCCCGGCACCCACCGGGGGCACGGCCGCGACCCCCGCGGGCACGGAGCACGCCGAGGTGCCCGGGCACACCGGAGCGCACGCAGCGCTCGTCTCTCCCCGGTGCCTCGCTCACACCGATGGTCACACTCGCCCGGGTGCCCGCGCGTCCCCGCACACGCACCCACAGCCACGCGGGGCCCCGAATGTGCCCCCGGCTGTCCCCAGGCTCGGCACGTCCCCGGTCCCCCGGCCAGGCCCGGGCCCCGCAGCCCTCCCGGGGCCGCCTCACGGCCCCGAGCCCCCGTGAAACGGCGGAAAACGAAACCCACGGGAGGCCGGGGCTGTGCCCGCTGTGCCCCGGCCGTGCACACCGGGAGCGGCCGCTTGGGCTGGGCGGCGGGGCCCGGCTCCCGCTCCCGGTGCTCCGGTTTCGGGAGGGAGGCAGAGATCGACCCGGCCCCTGCTGCCCGCGCTCGGCCTTTTATATACCCACACCTATATAGACAGAATATATAGAATATATGAAATATATAGAATATATAGAATATATGGAACCTATAGAATCTACGGAACCTATGGAATATATGGAATATCCTCGCGGGAAGGAACGGCGGCCCCTGTGGAAATGCCAACCCGCCAGCACCGGGCGCTCTCCGTGATCACCGGGGCTCTCTGCCCAGCACCGGGCACCCCCAGGGCCGGGCAGCTCTTGGCCGGAGCCCCCCAAGCTTCCAGCGGCGGCCGCAGCATCGCGGGGAGCGAGCGGAGCCTCGTCCCGCGGCCACCGGGCACCGGGAACGGGGCACCGGCCCCGCCGCTCTCCGTGGTGCTGAAGGGCGGCCGCGCCGCCACCGGGGCCGTGCCGGGTCGCGCCTCGTCCGTGCTTCCCTCACCGAGCTGCCGCTAATTGATTATCATTATTATGGCTATTAATTATCGCCGTTACCGTCCCCGCGGCTCCGGCCGAGCGCGGCCAGCGGGGCCGCGGTGCCAGCGGTGCCAAATTCCCGGCTCGTTCCCCATCGCGGCCCCGGTGCTGCCGCCCGCCATCCTCGGCACGCTCCGCTCCACGCGTGGGCCGAGCCCCGCCGGTACCTCCCAGCCGGGGCTCCGGGATCCCGCCCTGGCCGCCGGTGGCCCCGGCCCCGCTGCCGCCGGTGCCCGCCCGCTCCGCCGTGTCCCGCTGCCCACGGCTCGGTGCCGTTTGCCCGAAGGGTAAAACCCAGCAACGAGCGCCGAGGGAACGAGAGGCACCGGCGGAGCCTCGCCGAGGCCCCGGGAGCCGCTCCGGCCCGGGCCCGGTACCGGGAGGGGCCGCTCGGGGCAGCGGGGGCGCCGCCGGTGCCGCTCTCACCGCCCAGGGCCCCGCTGGCACCGCGCAGGGCCCGGTTCGGCCCCGTCGCTCTCCGGTGCCCGCCGGGCACCGCTCGGCGGCCCCGGGAGGCGCGGGGGGAGCCGGGCACCGGCGGCACCGGGGGAGCGGCCGCCCCACGCGTGTCCGCGCCCGGGGCTGCCCCGGGCCCGCCCGGGCCCGCTCCTCCCGCCGCTTACCGGCTGCTCGCCCGCCTGTGCCCGGTTCCCCGGTGCCCCGTTGTGCCCCGGCCCGAGCCCCGTGTGCTGAAATACCTTCACGGGAGCAGCCATGTTGGGCTCCGGTGCGAGCGCGGCGCTCGCCGCAGGAACCGGCGGCCGCCTGGGCGGGAGGCAGCGGCGGGGCCGGGCACGGCGGCCCCGCTTCTCCCCGGAGCCCCGGCAGCCCGGCCGGCCCCGGGCCCCGTCCCAGCTCACCGAGCGGGGTCCCCGGGCCGGGAAGTTGCCGCCGTTCCCGGTAACGCCACCACCTGCGGGTCCCGCACCTGCCGCGCGTCCCTCCGGTGCCACCGGCCGCGTCCCGGGGCTGCCGCCGGCGAGGAGCTGGGGGAGCCGCCGTTACCTCCGCCTGGCGCGGTGTCCGGTGCCCGCCGTGCCCACCTGGGGAGGGAAAGAGAGAAACGCGTCAGGAGCAGCCGCCGCCATCGCTCCAACTTAGAGCAACTTTGGCGGCGGGGCCGCGGCGGGGGCGGGGGTGGGCGGCGCCGGGGGCCCTGCCCGGTGCCCGGTGCCCGGGGCCCGGGGCCCGGTGCCCGGGGCCGGTCCTGCCGCGGGCAGGGCGCGCGGTGCCCGGGGCCGGTGCCATCCGCCCGCGGGGTGGGCACAGCGCAGGGACGCGGCCTCGGCTGCGGGGACGGCCGGGACAGCCTGGATCGGGGCAGCCCCGCACCTGGGCACTGCCCGTCCGTCTGTCCGTCTGTCTGTCTGCCTGTCAGTCCGTACCAGCCCGCCCCTGCCGTGGGCACCGCAGCCTCCCTGGCACCGCGGCCTCGCACCGGCCACTCCCCGGGCACCGGAGCCGCTCTCCCGCCCGGCCCGGTTCCCTTCCAAAGTGGATTTTTCTGCTGTTTATTTCCCTCCCCGCTTTTTTCCCCACCGATATTTTTTCCCCCCCTCCTCATCTTTTTCTTTTCCTTTTCCCGCCCCAATTTTTTCTTTTCTCTAATTTTTGCCCCCCCTCCGCTCGTTTGATTCCAACGTCGCTGGGAATTATTTGCATTTAAAACCCAACGAGTCGTTTCCCTCCGCGCCGCTTCGCAGCCCCATTCCAGCAGCTCGGGGGAGCGATCCCAAGGAAAAGGGGTCCCCAAACCCCGGGGAAAATCCCCCCGAATCCCTGCCCAGCTGAAAATATCGATGCGGGGGAAAACTCAAGATTTAACAGATTTTCATGATTTTCTTCCCGCAGCCGCCGTCACCCAAAGGTGTTGTGGCAACAAAGAGCGGGATGGCGTTTGACGCTCGTATTTTTGGCCTAAATATTTGCGGAAATATTCCCCCAAATCCCCGAACGCTTTGCAAAAGATTGATGCGCCTCAAAGCCATCACATCCTGCCCTGCCAAGCGCTTCCGAGGAAAATCTGATTTTCCATTTCTCCCCCCGCCGCCGCTGATCCCGAAGCTGCGGGCGAGGGAAGGCGCTGGGGATCGAACAAACCGTTCCCAGTCCAGACTGGGAGCCCAACTGGTTTTCCCCCGTCCCCGTGCGCGGCGCAGATTCCCCAGCTCGGGGAACAAGGGCGCGGAATCCCCGCCGTGCCCGCTCGGGCACAGCAGAAAACCCCAGGTACTTTTTTTTTTTTTTTTTTTCAAGGGGAAAAATAGCAACAAACCAAGAGAATTAATTATTTTTCCTTCCTTTCGCCAGAAATGCCGAATTCAACCCCGGCCTTTTGCATGGAGATTTTTTTTTTCCTTGTGTTTTTTTTTTTACTTTCTATTTCTTTTTTCCTGTTGTTTCTTTTTACAGCCTCGCACCAACGCAGGGATGGAAGGGAATGCCCACACAACGCCCCAACCCCACACAGCATCCCCACGCCCCTTTCTCCCTGCTCTCTATTTTTTTTTTTAAACCCCAAATCCTTCCCCCGCAAAATTATAATTTTAAAAAATATCAAAATAGCTGCACACACCGAAAGTCCGCTCCGGCAGCCCCTTACCTCGGGCACCGGGCAGGGCAGGGCAGTCGCTCCGACCGGCCCCGGGGCTCTAAACCCCGGGGGTGGCTTTTGTGAGTTTGCCGGAGTTTCCCCGGGCCGTCCCCTTTTGTGTCCCATTGCCATCTAGAGGCCCCGATTAATTAATTTCACACCGAAGCTCGGGAGAAAATTTTCCCACAAAACAAGTGAGCGAGGAGATGTGAAACTCCAAAAAGAAAAGGAGTCAACATCAAGTTCAACAGCATGCGGGGAGAGGCCCATTTCCATCACAATCGCGTCTGAGCGGGGGCCGGGCGGGGGGCGGCGGGCGGCGGCCCCCGCGCCCCCTCCGCGCGTTCCCAGGCTCGGAACAATCGCGCTCTGTTTGCCGCGCACATGCCGGCGTTCGGGCACGGAGGCTGCCTTGGGATAACAGGAATAATGAGGGGCGGGGGGCGCGGGGGGAGCGCGGCCCGGCGGGGAGCGGGGGGAGCGCACCGGGGCCCGGCCCGGTACCGACCTGTTGAGCGCGGCCGCGGCACCGGCGGGGCCCGGAGGAGCCGCGCTGGGGGACAGCGGCCGGAGGGCTCCGGGGGACCCCGAGCGGCGCGGGGACACTTCGGGCCAAGTTCGGTGTCCCCTCCCTCGCGTCCCCGCCGAGCGCGGCCACGCGTTTTCCCACGGTGCCGGGGGAGCGGGGGGTGCGCGGCCCGGGGAGCGGGGGGCCGGGGCCCGGGGTGGCCGAGGCGGCGGAGGACGTGTCCTGCAACCCAAGCAGCTCGGCTCCGCCGGGCATTGTCCCCACGGAGCCCGTGGCCATTGTTCCCGGCGCTGCGGGAGCCGGAGGGAGGGCAGCTTTCCACGCCTCGTCCCCGGGCCCCCCTCCCCGCGCCGCCTCGCCCCCAGCCCGACACTCACACCGGGGCTGCCGGGACCCTAATCCGGGATGGGGCGGGGGGAGGGCGAGGAACACCCCACCCATCCCCCGAAAAAAATAAAAAAAAATTTAAAATATCGGGCGAGGGAAGGGGAGGCGCGGGGTCCCCCTCGCAGACTTCCTCCAAGTTGGGAGAACGGGAGGGGGAGCGGGGCGGCCACCGGTGCCCGCCCAGCCCTGCCCTGCCCCGCGGGCACCGGGGGCACCGGCGGCACCGGCAGCACCGGCAGCACCGGCAGCACCGGGGGCACCGGCAGCACCGGCAGCACCGGCGGCACCGGCAGCGCCGGGGGCACCGGCAGCACCGGCGGCACCGGCGGCACCGGCAGCACGGGCAGCAGCACCGGCGCGGGGAGTTCAGTGCGGGGCACAGGAGAGGGGGGAAAAACGGCGGCGGAAAAAGAGGGAGTGGGGAGGGGATTATTTACCTCCCTCCGCACCTCTGCGTCCATTACTGACTTAGCGGCGGCGGAGCCGGCACCGCCGGGACACCGGGGCTGGGGGGAACCGGCACCGGCACCGGCAGCGGGCGGGGCGCGGGGCCCGGGGCCGTCCAGGCCGGGCCGCGGGAAGCGGAGCCCCCGCGATCACGTCGCCGTTACGTGGGGTTAAACCGGGAACGTCCGCCCGCCGCCCGAACCCCCCGAGCGCACCGGGCAGCGCCGGCCCCGCCGCCAGCGGGGCCGCGGGGAGAGGCGGCAGTGACGGGGGGCGGATTCCGCCCAAACATCCATTTTGTCCCTTTTGGAAATGGAGATGGGAGAGAGGAGGGGAGAAAAAATGCGTCTTTTTTTTTTTTTTTTTTTTTTCCTGGCTTTCTCCATATTTTACTACGTAAGGAATGACGCGCTCGCGTCGGGAGCGGGATAGGTTCGCCCGGAGCTCGCAGAAGGAGGGGGTAACCGGGCTGGGGGGAGCGCGGGGGCGGGGGGCGGCTCTGGCAGCGGCAGAACCTAAAAATAACGAGGATTTTATTATTTAAATAAAAAGAGAAATAATAATAATAATAATAATAATAATAATAATAATAATAATAATAATAGCAGAAATCCCGCTGACCCCGCCGATGCGGCCCTGCGCGGGCACCGGGGGGCACCGGCCGCTCCGGGAACCCCACCGCGCCTCCCCGGGGACCCTCGGGATTTGGGGCACCCCATGGGGGGCGCGGGGAGGGTTTGGGGGTCCCCCTGCCCTGTGTCCCCTCCCGGGGCTGCGGAAGGCGCTCCCCTTTCCCGGGCCGCTGCGGGATCATTGCGTGGAAATGAAGCAGGAATTGGCCGGGTTTTATTTCATTCCACCCCAAATCCCTCGCTGCTCCGTGGGTTAACATCTCCAAACCCCCGGGAACGGATTCCCCCTCCTCCCGTTCCCCCGGGCGCGCCAGGATTTTGGGAGCGCTAAAAAAACCCCAAAAAACCCCGGGGGGCTCCGCTCAGGGCCCGGGGGGCTCCGCTCAGCGCCCGGGGGTTCGCGCCCCAAATTCGGCCCCGGGGAAGGGGGGACACCCAGGGACCCCCAACCCCTGCAGATCCGGAGCCCCTGACGAGATCCAGGCCTGGTTTGAGCCCTCGGAGCCACCGGGACCCGCGGCCGCCGAGCCGGGACCGGCCGGTGCCGCTGCCGGTGCCGCCCCGGTGCCCGCCCGAGCCCTGCCCGCCCGGGCCGGTGCTCCGGGATGGCCCCGGGCTCCGCGCTCTCCCCTGATGAGCTCCGCTTATGCATTTCCTCATTAACGAATATTCCCCGCGGCCGAGCCCGGGGGCACCGGGGCGCGCGTCCCCGGCCCGTCCCGTCCGACCGGCGCTTCCCGGCGGCTCGGCCGCTCCCCGCGGCCCCGGGAGAGGCGGGAGGCCCGGCCTGGGCGTCGGACACCCCAAATCTTGCGGGCAGCCCCTCAATTCCCGTGCCCGGTGCTGCGGTGCCATCCCCGCCCTCGGTCTGCCCGGGCGCTTCCCCCGGTAAAAGGCGCTGGGGCGGGGCCCGGCTCCTCCCGCCGCCCGGTACCGGCGGGCCCACTGCCCCCCGCCCCCGAGGGCGCGGATTTAGGGGAGCGGGTGGCGGATTTGGGCTCCTCGACGGAGTTCTGATCAAAAATTCATTAAGAGGCGCTCGGCGCAGCGCCATGAATATTTCAGGGCTTTTGCAAAACAACCGAGCGGGTGTTCGGGGGAGGATGCACCGGGGCACAGGCAGCCCCGCTGCCCGGCTCGGCCCCGGCTGAGGCGGGAGGGGCCGGCCAGCTCCGTTCCGTCGGGGACGCAGCCCCGGGGCTCGGCGCTGCCCCGGAACGGCCCCGGTTAGCGGAGATCGGTCCCGGTTGGGGAGGGCGGCCCTGCAGGGACACCGTGACACAACCCGGAGTGTCCCCGGGCACGGCACGGGCAGAGCTGAGCGTGGGGACAGCGGGGGCACCCCCGGGATGTCCCCTCGGAACGGGGACACCACCCCCGAGGGGCCGATCCGGTGGCAGGCGCTGCTGCGGGACGGAATTACCCCAAACCCACCCACGGCGGGCACGGACGGAAAGGCCCCCAGCCCCAAATTGGGGTGCGGGCACCCCCGGCAGGTCCCAGCCGCAGACACAGCCCCGGCTGAGCCCCCCGAGCCCCCCGAGCCGCCCCGGCGGGGCCTGCAGCGAACCGGGCCGGACCGGGAAGGGCTCACGGAGCCCAGAGGCGGCCCCGCCGGGCCGTGCCCGGGGACAGCAAGGCCGCTCTGTCCCTGCCCGGTGCCACCCCCGCGCCCCGAGGCCGCTGCGGGTCCCCGGTGCCACCCTTGGGGCAGCGCCACCCTGTCCGCCAGGCTGGGGACACAGGGACAGCGAGGCCGCTCCGAGGGACCCGAGCGGGGCTGGGGACGCCCCGAGGCACCCCCCGAGCCCGGTTCGGGACCTGTCGCGACGGGCGGTACCGGAGCTGCGGGCACGGCTGGCGTGTGCGGCTCCCGGCGCTCCCGCCCTGCCCTCGGTGCCGCCGCCGTTCCCGGTCCCGGTGCCGGGTCCGCCGTGTCCCCCGCGCCGCCGCCGCCGCCACCGCAGCCCCCGGCCCCTCCCCGGGGCTCACCTCGCCCTGACATTTCCTGGCGCTCCTTCCATGCCAGCGGGTTGCCATAGCAAATCTAAATCTTACAAACAAAACCAGGGGGAGAGAGGGGAAAAAAAAAAAAGGCCAAAAAAAAAAAAAAAGCCTGATTAGCATATATTCAAATGAGGCGTGCAATAATGCAAACCATAAATCATGCAGTCATTGCTATTCAATCGGAGTCTCTCACCCCAGCCCCCGCTCCCGCTCCCGCTGTATCGCAGCCGCAGGCCCGGCCCGGTCCCAAAGGTGGCCCTGAGGGGACCTGCCACCCTCGGGGGTGGCCCTGAGGGGACCTGCCACACTCGGGGGTGGCGCTGGGCCCGGCGCGGCTCGGCACAGCCCCCTAATCCCGCCTGGCATTTACGGCGCTCCATTAAACCGGGCAAACTCTCCCCAGGATTAATCTCCCGCCCCGGGTTTAATCTGGGGCTGTAATCCATCCCCCCCCCAGCCAGGAAAGGGGCCCTGGGGGTGCGGGGGGGACCCCGGCCCTGCCTGACCCCGCCTGGGGGTGCCCAGGCGGTGCTGGGGGGACCCGAACGCCCCCAGGGTGTCCCCATGGGCTGGTGGCACTGCGGGACCCGCCTGTCCCTCCCTGTCACCCCCAGGGTGCCCCCATGGACCCGCCTGTCCCTCCCTGTCACCCCTAGGGTGTCCCTATGGGGTGGTGGCACTGCAGGACCCCGCTGTCCTTCCTTGTCACCCCCAGGGTGTCCCCATGGGCCCGGCTGTCCCTCCTTGTCACCCCCAGAGTGTCCCTGTGGGGTGGTGGCCCTGCAGGACCCCGCTGTCCCTCCCTGTCACCCCCCGGCAGCGTGGCCGTGCCCAGCACAGCCCCCATGGGATGTCCCCCCGCCCCAAAATCGGCAGAACCCCCAAACCCAGCCCCGAGCTAAAACAGGCTCAGCTCAGCTGGGCCGGGCCTGAACCCCCGCCTTGCCCCCCAGATCTCGATTTTAAGGGGTTTTTCCTCCTCCCCCGTGCTCTGAGGCCCCCGAGAGGCTTTTTGGGGTCACCGAGGGGGTGCGGGCAGTGTCACCTCTCCCGTGGGGACAATGCCACCCCAAGCTGGGCTGCCTGAGCCCAAGAACCTCACAGCAGACACCCCGAGCCCCCCAGCTCTTTATTGGTGCGAAGATAATAAATAGGAAAGAGCCCCTGGCTGGGGGCGCAGCGCTGTGCCCTGTCCCTGTCCCGTGTCCCCTGTCCCTGTTCGCTGTCCCCTGGCCGCGGGACCGGGCCGGGGCTGCCGGTTTGGAGCCGCCGCCGCCGCTCTCAGTCCTGCTGCCACCGCGTGGCACTTCCCGGCCACTCCGGCTGCTGGGGACACGCCGGGGACACGCTGGGGACAGGCGGGGACAGCGCCCAGCGCCACCGCACAGGACACGGCCCCGGCTCCCGAGGGGGCTGGGTGGCACCGGGGGCACGGGGGGCTCAGATGGCGCCGGGGTGGCACCGGGGGCAGGGGGGCGTCCCGAGGGGCTCAGGTGGGGCAGGAGCGGGGGCTGCTCCCCCTGCCCGCGCCCCGCCGGCCTCGCTATCTCTGCCAAACGTCCGCGGGCTGTCCCCTCCGCGCGGGGACAGCGGGGACAGCGGGGACAGCGGGGACAGCCGCCCTCGGCGGGAACGCGGGGAAGCTCTTGGCGAAGCCATCGCGGGGCTGGAGCTCGCCGGGGACTCGGGGGGCCTCGCTGAGGGGCGCCAGGGGGGTGCCCGGGGCACAGCCCAGCCCCGGCGACACCCGCTCCGATTTGATGCTGACGGGCTGCGGGGACGCGCCGGGGACGGCGACAGCGACAGCGACGGCGGCGGCGGCTGGCTCCTCCGCGGGGACCATCCGGCTGCTGGCCCTGCGGCGACAGGGCACGGTGAGGGACAGGCCCCGCGTCACCTGCGGGGTGTCCCCTTGTCACTCCCAAGTTCCTGTCCTGGGCTCCTTCTGGCCCGGTTGGGCCCACACGGCTGTTGGGAGCCGGGGGGGGACGTGGGGACAAGGTCCGAGGGGGATCCCGGCTGGAAATAATCTGGGGGTGCTTCGGGGTGACCCCCAAGAGCACCCGGGGGGGGGGGGGGGCTGCCCCTCGGTGCCGCACATGGCTGGGAGGGGACAGCCGTGGGAGGAGCAGAGTGGGGTCACCCTCGCCTTGTCCCCCCTGTCCCCACCACAGGCCACCCCTGTCCTTACCCCAGCGAGGCCATGTCCCGCCTGCCTTGTTCCCCCTTGTCCTGCCCTGTCCCCCCTGTCCCCTGCCCTGTCCCCTGTCCTGTCCCCCACTCTGTCCCCCACTCTGTCCCCACCCTGACCCCTGCCCTGTACCCATCCCAGGGCCACCCCTGTCCCCACTCTGTCCCCGCCCTGTCCCCCTGTCCCCAGCTGTGTCCCCTGTCCTGTCCCTACCCTGTCCCCTGTCCTGTCCCCAGCTGTGTCCCCCCTGTCCCCACCCTGTCCCCTGTCCTGTCCCCAGCCCTCCTCACCCCAGCGCCGCCACATCCCGGGGGTGCTGCCAGGCCTGGGGGGGCTGCAGGAATCCGGGGGGCGCCGGGACCTCCCCAAAATCTGCGGGGTGGGAGCACAGAGTGAGCGGAGGGGGTGACAAGGGAGGGGACAAGGCTGGGGCAGCGCCACTCACCCGCCGGGGCCGGGCCGAGGAAGGGGAACCCGGCCAGGCCGTGGCTCGGGAGGCCGGAGCTGCCGGGGCTCAGCGTCTGCAGGGCGGGGTACAGCGGCCGCTGCGGGAAACGGGGGCGCCCCGATGGGTTCTGGGCCCCAAATCTCAAACGGGGGGACCCCAATGGGTTCTGGGCCCCAAAACCCGGGGGAACCCTCCAAACCCCTCCCTGAGCCTCCCAGCAAGGAAGGGGCGCATGGGAGGAGCGGGGTCTTGGGATGGGACAGCAACATGGCCTTGGGGACAGCTGTGTGGCCTTCGGGACAGCCATGTGGCTTTGGGGACAGTTGTGAGGCCTTGGGGACAGTCATGAGGCCTTGGGGACAGCGGTGTGGCCTCGGGGACAGCAGCATGGCTTTGGAGACAGCCGTGTGGCCTCATGGACAGCCGTGTGGCAATGGGGACAGTCATGAGGCCTCGGGGACAGCCATGTGGCCTTGGGGACGGCCATGTGGCGCTGTGGACAGCCGTGTGGCTTTGGGGACAGTCATGAGGCCTTCAGGACAGCCGTGTGGCCCTGGGGACATCAGACTCACCGCCGCGGTGCCGCCGCTCCGGCCGCCGGCCAGGCCGCCCTGGCTGTCCCCGCGCCGGCCCTCGGTGCCCAGGAACAGCGGCGGCGGCGTCTTGGTGGCCAGGGCGCGGCCCAGGCCGGCGGCGGGGAACAGGGGGTAGCCGAGCCCTGGGGACAGACGGACAGCGGGACGCGCGGGTGAGCCCCGGGGATCCCCGGTGTGCCTGCACGGGGCCGCGCTCCGGCACGGCCGCTGCCCCGCGGGCCCCCGGGGTGCGACAGGGGTGACAGCAGGGCAGGGCTGGAGGGGGCTCTGGGCCACACACTGGGGACAGGGGCTGCCTGTCACCATCCCTGCCTGCCCCATCCCTGCCTGTCACCATCCCTGCCTGTCCCGTCCCTGCCTGTCCCTATGCCAGGATTTGGGGTGCTGCCTGTCCCCACCCAAGGGTTTGGGGTGCTGCCTGTCCCCATCCCAGGATTGGGAATGCTGCCTGTCCCCATCCCTGCCTGTCCCCATCCCTGCCTGTCCCCATCCTGTGCCACCTCCCACCCCAGGAGGTTTCCCTGCTCCAGCCCCGGGTTTGTGGCGTTTCCAGCCCCTTTTCTGTCCCCGCCAGGGGCTGAGCCTCCGTGCTGGGCTGTGCTCGGTCTGTGCCGGGGCTGTGCCCAGGATGGGCACGGGTGAGGGCGCAGCTGCCGCCGGTGCTGGCGGGCACAGGAAGCAGCTGGAGCCGCCCCGGGCCGGTGTTTCCGCAGCTGCGGCCCCGCTGCTGCCCACGCAGCCCCGGCCCCGCGCCCGGGCAGGCCCCGCGGGGGGAGCTTTGCATGCGGGGCCGGGCCGGGAAAATCCCGCGGGGCTCGGGGGGGACGGGGTGGGCACGGCCGGGACCGGGCCAGGGCGGGAATGGGGTGCCCGGGGTGGGAATGGGGTGCCCGGGGTGAGGGGTCCATGGTGGGGACGGGGTGTACAGAGTGGGGGGTCCATGGAAGGGATGGGGTGCCCGGGGTGGGAATGGGGTGCCCGGAGTGGGGGGTCCATGGTGGGGACGGGGTGCCCAGGGTGGGGGGTCCATGGTGGGGACGGGGTGTACAGAGTGGGGGGTCCATGGAAGGGATGGGGTGCCCGGAGTGGGAATGGGGTGCCCAGGGTGGGGGGTCCATGGTGGGGACGGGGTGTACAGGGTGGGGGGTCCATGGTGGGGATGGAGTGTTTATGGAAGGAATGGGGTGTCCATGGAAAGGAGGAGGTGCCCAGTGGTGGAAACGGGGACCATGGAGGGTATGGGTGCCCAGGGTGGTAATGGAGTCACCATGGAGGGGATAGGGTGTCCATGGAGGAAATGAGGTGTGCATGGTGGTAATGGGGTGTGCATGGCAGGGATGGGATGTCCAGGGGGGTGATGGGGTGCCCAGGGTGGGGACAGGACCCCCACGGCAGGGATGGGGTGCCCATGGTGGGGATGGGGCGACCATGGCAGGGATGGGGTGCACATGGTGGGGATGGGGTGCCCACGGCAGGGATGGGGTGCCCATGGCGGGGATGGGGTACCCATGGTGAGGATGGGGCGACCATGGCAGGGATGGGGTGCCCACGGCAGGGATGGGGTGCCCAGGGGGGTGATGGGGTGCCCAGGGTGGGGACAGGACCCCCACGGCAGGGATGGGGTGCCCATGGTGGGTGTTGGGGTGCCCAGGGTGGGGACAGACCCCACGGCGGGGTCCCCTCCCCTGTGCCCACCCCCGCGGTGTCCCCGAGCCTACCTGGGGGCAGCGGCCCCGGGGACCGTCCCGGCGCTTTGGGGGCCGCGGCTCTGAGGGCGGGGGGGCGGCCCGGGCCCTGCGGGGAGCCCAGGGAGCCCTCGGGGGCCGGCGGGGAGCTGCCGTAGGCGGCCTCGGGCAGCGGCACCGGGCTCTGGGGGACACGCGGTCAGGGACAGGGACAGGGACCCTCGGGGACATTCAGGGACACACGGGGGGTCAGGGACAGGGAGCCTCGGGACCCCAGAGGACCCTCAGGACTCTGCAGGACAAACCAGATCCCAAAGAGAGGGAGGGGACAGGACCCTTGGGGGACCCTCGGGGACCCTGCAAGACAAACCAGCACCCAAGGCCAGGGAGGGGACAGGACCCTTGGGGACCCTTCAGGATGAACCATAACCCAAGGCCAGGGAGGGGACAGGACCCTTGGGGACCCTTCAGGATGAACCATAACCCAAGGCCAGGGAGGGGACAGGACCCTTGAGGACCATCGGGGACTCTCAGGAACCCTTCAAGATGAACCAATACCCAAGGCCAGGGAGGGGACAGGACCCTTGGGGACCCTCAGGACCCTTCAGGACAAACCAGATGCCAAGGAGGGCATGAGGACCCTGCAGGATGAACCATAACCCAAGGCCATGGAGGGGACGGGACCCTCCACGTGCCACCCACGACTCACATAAAACCTGGGCCGCGCCAGGGCCAGATCCGCGCCCTCTCCGAGCCTCCTGCTCCTGTCCGCGGGCGGCTCCGGGCCCTCGTCCAGCTCCAGCTCGTGGCTCTCCAGCCCCAGCCCTTTGCGCTTGAGCGTCTGCGAGGAGGGCACCGTGAGCGGCTCCCCGGGCCCCGCGCGCCCCGGCGCCGCCCCGGGCGCTACCTCGAGGATGTCGGAGTTGGTGCGGCTCTCGTGGGGCTCGCTGTACTCGGTGTACTTGAGCAGCACCTTGTCCATGTCGGTGCTGGCGTACTGGAACAGGCGGTTGGTGCTGTTGAAGATGATGAGCGCGATCTCGCAGTCGCACAGCACGCTCAGCTCGTACGCCTTCTTCATCAGCCCGAATTTCCGCTTGGTGAAGGTCACCTGCGGGGGGCCGGGTGAGAAAACCCCCCAAAAACGGCGCCCAGCTCTCCCGAAAACGCTCCCCACGGCGTAATTCTGCCTCCCATCCTCCTCATCCTCTCCCTGACCCCACCTCACCCCGAGCAGCCCCCACCTGCCGGTTCCGCTGGTCCAAAATGCGGCTGATCTGGATCTTTTTGCGGCCCATTTCGGCCTCCTGCGCCGGGCTCGGGGCTGCAAGAGAGCGAGAGACGCCTGAGCCCCGCGGCCCTGGGGCTGTCCCCAGCCACAGTCCGCCCCGGCGCCGCCAAAAATAAGTTTGGCCGCGAAAAAAGATCGATTTTCGGAGGAAGTTCGGTCATTTCTTCTTCCGCGAAGATGGTGGCCAAGCGGAAAATGGGGGAAAATCAGGAAATTCTGCTGGGTTAGAGGGGAAAAAATCCCCTCGGCCTTGCCCAGCCAGCCCATCCATCACTCCCCGAGCACCTTCGGGTGAGGCCGTGATCCCAAATCACGGGGTCCCAAATCCTGGGGGCTTTGGGAGCAGAGTTCTCACCTCAGACCCCGAGGCTGCTCCTGGAGCTGCTCCTGGAGCTCTGTGGGATGGGGAGAGCGTTTAAAAGGGGCCGGGCTGGCAGCGGGGAGGGTCCCTCAAACAAAAGCGTTGGTTTGAGGTTTAAATTTGGGGATTTTTTTTTTAATTTCTTTTTTTTTTTTTTCTCAAGCTCCAGCAGACTAAATTTGCCCTCCGCCACTCGCAGGCCAGGAAGTGGCTGCACGAGGAGACGGCAAAGCGAAACCGCCCGCGCACCCTCGTGAGCCAGCCCGGGACAGGGACGGGGGCTGGTGACACCGGTGACACCGGGGCTGAGGGGTGCCAGCGCCCCCCGAGCCTGTCACAGCGCTGGGACACCCCAATTCCTGTCACATCCCCTCAATTCCTGTCACATCCCCCAATTCCTGTCCCTCTGTCACCCCCACAGCGCTGGGACACCCAATTCCTGTCACATCCCCCAATTCCTGTCCCTCTGTCACCCCCACAGCGCTGGGACACCCCAATTCCTGTCACATCCCCCAATTCCTGTCACATCCCCTCAATTCCTGTCACATCCCCCAATTCCTGTCCCTCTGTCACCCCCACAGCGCTGGGACACCCCAATTCCTGTCACATCCCCCAATTCCTGTCACATCCCCCAATTCCTGTCCCTCTGTCACCCCCACAGCGCTGGGACACCCCAATTCCTGTCACATCCCCCAATTCCTGTCACACTCCCCCAGTCCCTGTCCCACCCCCCAATTCCTGTCCCTCTGCCTCCCCCCAGCAAGAGCCACCCCAAATCCCCCAATGCCACCAAGGGGGCAGAGCCACGGGTGGCACCGAGCTGTCCCCAGCGTGTGCCCACCCCGGTGTGGGGACAGCCCCGGCCTGGCGCTGTCCCCAAGCCCGGGGCAGGGACACTGCGCGGTGGCAGCTCCGCCTTGGGGACAGCTCTGGGGCCCCCGTGCCAGGCCGGGTGCCAGGGGGCAGTTGGGGACCCTGGGGTCCCCCCGCGTGTCCCCCTCCCCCTCTCGACGAGCGCGCTGCCATTTCACCAGCGTGCTCGCCGCTATTTTTAGCCGATCAAAACTAATTTTAATTTATGGAAGGAAATTGCGCTGCCGTTCCCACGGCCCCGCTGCCACCCTGTGTCCCCGGGCCCACGCACGACCCCCCCCGTGCCCCCTCCCCAGGGCCTGGGGGTGCCCGGAGCCCCCCGGCCCCGCCGGAAAGGGCCGAGAGTGAATTCCCCGGTGGAAAAGGAGAGGTTTTCCCGTTCCCAACCATCCCCGGGGGTTCTCCTGGCTCCCACACCTGCAGCACTCCCTGGGGACACCCCGAGCTCCCCGGGGGTCACTTTGGGGGTGGCACTTTGGGGCTGCACCCCGGGTTGGGATGTTTGGGGCTGGGGGTGCTGGCCCGGCTGTGACCCCCCCGAGTCCCTGCAGAGCCTCAGCCTGGGGGGGGACTGGGGGATGGAGGGACGGACACAGGGATGGACACAGGGATGGACACAGGGATGGAGGGATGGATGGATGGACACAGGGATGGACACAGGGATGGACACAGGGATGGAGGGATGGATGGATGGATGGATGGATGGATGGATGGATGGATGGATGGATGGACGGACGGACACGGGAATGGATGGATGATGGATTCATGGATAGATGGACACAGGGATGGATGGATGGATCCATGGATCCATGGATGGACGGCTGCATCCCCCACCTGCAGCAGGGACATGAAATAGCTCCAAGGATTTTCCTGGGGACAGCCCCCTGCAGACCCTTGGGTGCTGCGGGACCTCAGAGCCCCATGGGGGGATACGCAGGGGGGCCTGGAAGGTTCCAGCACCCACAGGGTGATTCCAAGGGGGTCCTGAGAGGCGCTAATTGGGATCGGGATTGGGTTTGGGTTTGGGTTTGGGTTTGGGATCGGGATTGGGATCGGGATTGGGATCACTCCCACCTCACCCCAACCATTCCAGCGGCACCCAGCACCCACAGCTCGGCCTCACCCCAAACCCCACGCTGGGATTTGGTTTATAACCAACCCCACAGCCCCTCTGTGCCTTCAGGGGGCATTTGCTCAGCGCCAGGGGTGTAAATTCCCAGTTCCAGCTCCGGATTAGTGAGCTGAGACCAAAGGAACCCCGAGGGAGCCGCGTGCTCTTTCCGTGAGCCACCGTGAGACCCCCGTCACCACAACGGGGCCTCCAGCACTGCCTCCACACCCCTGGATGGGCCCAGAAACCCTAAATCCACCAAATTCATCCCAAAATCCAGGCAGGGGGGGTATTAAAGGAAAAAGCTGCTCCAGGACTGAGCGCTCCCTTAAAACACCCCCGAGTCAGGGTCTCGGAGCTGCCCAGGGATTCATCCTCCCATGGGGTACAGAAAGTGCAGGAAAGGGGGTTTGTACCAAATTATGGGGGTTTTGCTGCAAATCTGAGAGCTGGGGGTGACTGGGAAGGACTGGGGGGGGATTGGTTCTCAAACACCCGCTGGTGGCTTTTGGCAGCTCCCGAAAAGCGTTTTGGGAGAAAAAATCCAATTACAGCAGGGAGAAAAGAGTTTCCATCCCGAGGGAGGGGAAAATCTGAGCCAGGAGCAGCAAAACTCCACGGGAGGGAGAGGAGGATGGTGATGGGACCAGGAGGGGAACAGGGGTGGGGATGGGGGTTTGAAATGGGGTTTGGAATGGGGTTTGAGAAATGGGCTTTGAAATGGGGGCTTGAAATGGAATTTAAAATGGGGGTTTGAAATGTGGTTTGGAATGAGGATTTAAAAGGGGTTTGAAATGGAATTTAAAATGGGGGTCTGAAATGGGAATTAAATGGGGGTTTGATATGGAGGTCTGAAATGGGGTTTGAAATGGAATTTAAAATGGGGGTCTGAAACAGGGTTTGGAAATGGGGAATTTAAATGGGGATTTGAAAGGGGGTTTGAAATGGGGGTTTGATATGAGGATTTGAAATGGGGTTTGAAATGGGGGCTTGAAATGGGGTTTGAAATTGGGTTTGACATTGGGTTTGAAATTCGGTTTGAAATGGGGTTTGAAATGGGGATTTAAAATGGGAATTTAAGATGGGGTTTGCAATGGGGGTTTTAGCAGCACCAGGCCCCGAGTGCTGTGCCCAGAGGCCAAGCCCAGCCCTGGCCCCGTGGTTTGGGTCCCCTGGGAAGGGCTGAGCTGCTGTGAGCAGCGTCCCGAGCCCGGCGCAGGGAAAAGCCAAAGTTGAGCGTGGAGTTTGTGCTGGGCCCTCCTGCTTTTTATAGGTTGTTTAAACAAGTGACCAGTACAAACCAGCAGGGGCTGGGCGGGACTGGGAGCCGGGGGGAGCGGGCTGGGAAATGGGGGAGAGGTGGGGACGGGCCCTGAGGGGGTTTGGGACCACCAGGACCCCTCAAACCCCTTCCCTGCATCCCAAACACCCATAGCCATAAACCCCTCAGGTTCGGGGGCTCTGGGGACAGTGCCACCCTCAGCCCCGCTGTCACTGTCGCTGTCGCTGTCCCCCTGGGGGTGACACAGAGCGAAAGCCCCGGGGCCGATGGGTGGAGGATTTTCGGTTCCAAAATGAGTGTGAGGAAGGAGGAAGGATTGAAATGGCCCCAAAACCGAGGCAGCTCCCGGCCCTGGGGAGGGTGGACGGACACACGGACCCCCTCAGCCCAGGGCATGGCCAAGGCTCCATGCAGGGAAGGAACCCACAGTTCCCATGGGATTAATTGGGGGGGTCCCCACTTGGTGCTGGGGGCACCCAGGGCTGGTCCTGTGCCTTTGGGGTTGCCTGGCGCTCAGAGCTGCTTTGTCCTGACAGTCCTGAGGGGATTTCTGGGAGGAGGAGGGAGATTCAAGGGGTCTAAATTGTCCTGATTTCCCCCCAGATCCTTCTGGGTGCCCCCACAGCAGCGTGCCAGGCTCTGCAGCCCCTCAGTGCTGGATCCCAGCAGGGCCCCTCTCCCTTTGCACCAAAGTCTCACAAAGTTTCCCAGGGGCTTGGGAAGGTTTGGGGTCCTAAACCAGACCTGAGGCCTGGTTTAGGCTGATTTAGGCTGGTTTACTGACTAGTTTACTGCCTGGTTTAGGCTGGTTCATTGCCTGGTTTATTACCTGGTTTACTGCCTGGTTTGCTGCCTGGTTTAGCCTGGTTTAGCCTGGTTTACTGCCTGGTTTAGGCTGGTTCATTGCCTGGTTTACTGCCTGGTTTAGGCTGGTTCATTGCCTGGTTTACTGCCTGGTTAAGGCTGGTTCATTGCCTGGTTTATTACCTGGTTTACTGCCTGGTTTGCTGCCTGCTTTAGGCTGGTTCATTGCCTGGTTTACTGCCTGGTTTAGCCTGGTTTACTGCTGGCAGGACCCAGCAGGATCCCTCTCCCTTTGCACAGAACTTTCCCAAAGTTTCCCAAATCACTTTTTGGGATGCCGTGGGTGCCCTGGGCAGGTTTGGGGTCCTAAGCCAGACCTGGGGCCTCACCCACGTCCCTCCTTCCCCCAGAGCTCCCCGATGTCACTGCGCCGTGCCCAGCTGGCAGCGGGGCACAGGGCCAGCCCTGGGTGTCCTGATGGTCCCCCCGCTCCTTCCCCAGCCCCAGGGATGCCCGGGGGGTCCCGGGGGTCCCATCCCCCCTTTCCTGCTCATCCCGAGCTGCCACGGAAATTCATTCCCTGGGAAACTCCGGGCTGGCAGCGCTGGGAGGGTTTCTGTCATTAAAAGAGTAAAAAATCCCTGAGGATGGGGACAGGGACAAGGACAGGAGGGACAGGGACAGGGACAGGGACAGGAGGGACAGAGACAGGAGGGACAGGGACAAGCTGGCAGCGGACTGTGCTGGGCAGGAGGATCTGGCAGAGGATCCACCTCACTCTCCACGGGTGCCAGGGGGACCCAGGTGCACTGGGACACCCTGGAGATGCCACACGGAGGTGCCACCACCCTGGAGATGCCCCTGGCCGGAGCCGCGGCCGCGTTGTCCCCTCCCGGGAGCGGGAAGGGACCAGCACGTGCCCCGAGCAGCCAGGGTGCTGTGCCACCCCGCGAGGTGACAGCGCCATCGGGGCTGACCGGCCGCGCTGTCCCCGCTGTCCCCGCCGCCCGCCGCTGCCGTGCCTCAGTTTCCCCGCAGCCCCCGGAGGCGCCGGTGGCCCCGGGGGCGGCGGCGGGGCCGGGGCAGGGCGGCTGTCGCCCAGGCTGCACTTTTGGGTTAAACCCGGGCGTTCCTCCCTGCGCAGACACGAGTAAAAATAACCGGCCCGGGCTCGGCGCAAACCGCAGTCTTTTTATAGCCCGCCATCCCGAGACGGCGGGGCGGGGGCCGGGGCTCCGCCGTGCCCAGAGCCGCCCGCCGGGCGCCGGCCCGGCCGCACCGGCCCCTCCCGGGCCGGCCCCGCTCCCGCTCCGTGCCCGGGCGCCCCGGGATGCGGCGGGGGCCCCGGCGGGGGAGAGCGGGGCAGGCAGCGCCGCTGCCGCCGGTCACCGTGCCCCGTGCCCTGTGCCGGTGCCACCGGAGCGCGGGACCCCCGTGCCCGCCGCGGGACACGCACCTGGGCAGCCGCGCTCCCTCCTCGGCGGCCCCGCGCGCTCCCGGCGCTGCAGCGGAGCCGGGGAGCCCCCGGGGCCGGTCCCGGTGCTGGTCCCGGTGCTGGTCCCGGTGCTAGTCCCGTTGTCGGTCCCGGTCCCGGTCCCGGTCCCGTCCGTGCCCCCGGAGCGCTGCCGCCGCCTGACCGAGCAGCACCGCTCACATTTGCATAACCCCGCCCACCCCGCCCGAAGATTTGCATACAGCGGCCGGACTGCTCTGCCATTGGTTAACGGAGGGTGTGTATTTGCATAGTCACGCCCTTGTCCGGGTGAGGGGCGGGGTGAAGGAAAGGGGCGTGGCCGGGAGTTCGGGCGCTGCAGGTGGGAAAAGTGAATCCGGGGAATATCAGGGAATAGCGGGGAACTCAGGGAAAATCAGGGAATATAGGGAATATCAGGGTAATCGGGGGAATCGGGGAACATCAGGGAATATCAAGGGAATCAGGGAATATCAGGGAATTCAGGGAATATCAGGGAATAGCATGGAAATCAGGGGAATCAGGGAAATCAGGGAACATCAGGGAAATCGGGGAATATCAGGGAAAAACTGGGAATTCAGGGAATCAGATGCCACCCAGCCCCACATTTTTGCACCCCGGACATCCTGGGGGTCCTGTCCCGACTCCCAGTCCCGGGAAGACCAGGAGGAAAACCGGGAGAAATGAGGAATTTCTGGATGAGGCTCTCAGGCGTCGGGGACGTGACATCTTCCCCAGAGCTGCTTTTAAAGCTCGTGATTTACAGAGCGCAATTAGGGGAGTGTTAATGAGCCTCGCCAGTAATATTAATTGATCCCGAAGAGCGGGTGGGGGGAGAACAGAAGGGTCGGAGCTTCGGCAGAGTCCGAGGTGACACGTCCAGGTGTCCCCTCCAGCCCTGGGACGCTTTGGGGACACTCAGGTGGCTCTTTGGGTGTGGGACATCCCTGTCCCGTCCTGTCCTGTCCCGTCCTGTCCTTCCCTCACCTCGGACTGTCCCGGTCCAGCCCGGGTCAGGGCCACTCCAGCCGCGCCAGGCAAAGCCGTGTTTGGGGTTTTGGGGACAGGGACCCCGCGGTCCCCCCGGGTCAGGGGGTGCCCCGCTGCTCCTTCCCAGCTCCCAAAGCTTTGAGCTCCCTCTCGAGGCTCCTCCTGCCCCAAAATCCCGGGATTTGGGGGAGTTTGGGGTGCCGGGTGTCCTGGGATGGGAGCTGCACCCCGAGGGACACCGGCGGGGACACGGCTGAGCTGTCACCGCCCGGGACACGGGAAGGGACAGAGCTGCCGTCACCAGGAGCTGCTTTGGGGACCCTGGGCCGAGTCCCAGGGACCGCCCCCCCCTCCGGGCCCTCCCAAAAACGCTGGGAAGGAGCCGGGAGCCGAAGCGCCGCTGCTGCTGCTGCTGCTGCCAAGGCCAACACGGCGGGACTGGAAAACAGCCCCGAGAGCGGCACGGCCCCGGTGCCAGCGGGAACCGCCCACGCGGGACCGGACGGGGGGACAGAGGGGACAGGGAGGGACAGCGAGGGATAGAGAGGGATAGAAAGGGACAGCGGGGACAGGGAGGGATAGAGAGGGACAGACAGGGACAGAAATGGACAGCGGGGACAGCAAGGGACAGAGAGGGATAGAAAGCGACAAGGAGGGACAGAGAGGAACAGAGAGGGACAGTGAGGCACAGCAGGGACAGCCAGCACTGCTCCAGCGGACAGGAAGCTCAGCTCGGTCTGGATGGCACAGCCCGGCTGGGCACGGCTGCTGGCACAGGGATGGGGGTGGCACCCCGCTGTCCCCCGCTGTCCCCCGCTGTCCCCGTGTCCCTCCCCGCGGGAATGGCTGTGCCGGGAAGCGCGGGGCCGTTCCCGCGGGGTGAATTCCCCCGGGCCGGTCCTGCTGGGAACCTCGAACGGCCCCGGGGACGGCGCTGCCGGGCGGGTCCCGCGGGGGCTCCGCTTCCCAGGGTATTTATGAGGCCTGGGAAACGCGCGGGGGTTCCGAGGGCCGGCCGAGGGTCCTTTCCCAGCCTGGCGGGACTGGGAACGTCCCGGGAGCTCCCCGGGGGCCGCGGGGACGGTCCCGGCGCGGGTGGAGGCCAAAGCGCCGCTCCCGGGGGTGCGGGGACCGCGGGGCCCCCGTCCCACACCGGGGTCAGTCCCGCGGCTCTCCCGGGGAACGGCAGCGCTGGGAACGGGAGCGCGGCTCGGCGCCCGCCTGTCCATCCATCCGTCCATCTGTCCATCCGTCCGTCTGTCCATCCATCCGTCCGTCCGTCCTCAGTCCCCACCCCCGCTCCCTCCGCTCCCTCCTGCCGCCCCCAGGAGGCTCCCGGGGCCCCACCGGGGGCGGAGCCGGCCCGGGAGGGTCCGGCGTGGAGGCAGGACCGGGGGCAGAACCGGGGGCAGGACCGGGGGCAGAACTGGGGGCAGGACGGGCCCGCCCCGGCGGACCCCGCGGAACGGCGGCAGCACCGGCCCGGTGCCCGTTCCCGGTGCCCGTTCCCTGTTCCCATTCCCCGCTCCCATTCCCCGCTCGAGTTCCCGAGTCGGGGAGCGCACGCACTTTCGGCACCCCCCGTGCCCCCGGTTCCCCCGGTTCCCGGTGCCGGTACCGGCCCCGCCATGCCCTCCGCGTACCCGCAGCGAGCCCTGACGGTGCTGCTGCTCTTCGGGACGCTGTCGGCCGCCATGGCGCTGCTCTCCTCCAGCCTCATCTTCCAGCTGCCCTCGGGCCGCGCCGCTCCCGGAGCGCTCCCGGAGCCCGTGGCCGCCGCCGTGCTGCCGGTGTCGGCCGCGCTGGCCGCGCTCTGCCTGGTGCTCAACGTGAGCTGCCTCCTGCTCTGCCTCCTGCACGGCTACTGCAGCACCGAGCTGGGCCGGGGGCAGCGCGGGCCCGAGCGGTGAGAGCCCCGAGCGGGGACACCGGGAACCGGGGCTCGGGGGGCTCGGGATAAACGGAGACCGGGGCTGGAGGGACCGGGAGGCTCGGGAGAGGAGGGGACCAGGGCTGGAGGGGCTCGGGAGAGGCGGGAACCGGGGCTGGAGGGACCGGGGATGCCCGGAGGGGTCCGCACAGAAGGGAAGGGCAGGAGGACACGGCGGGATCAGGGAATGAGGGGTCCCGGTGCCGACTCCTCCGGTGCCCCAAAACCTCCGTGAGGATTCGCTGGGTCCCCTCCAAAAGGGGCTGTGGGGAGCAGTGGGTGGGAAATCCCCCCAAATTCCTCTCCGTGAACCCCAGGGCTGGAACTGAGCCCTTTAATTTGAGTTTTAGACACTCCAGAAATCGGGACCGGCAGGTTTAACCTGGCTGCACAATCCAGGGGGTTTCATTTCCACGACTGGAAACTCCTGGATCTGGGATGGGCTGGGGGCTCCTGGCCCAGCGCCTGGGTTAAAACTAAAAAACAGCTCTGGGATAATCTGGTTTTAAAGGATTTTGGGGACGACTGGACTTTGTGGGGTGGCTCACGCAATTTTGGGACCTCTCTGACTTCAGTCAAAACTCGCTGAAAGGGAATGACGACGTTTCATCAGCTCCTTTTTGTCCCTTAATTGGAGAATCCAATCAGTCCCGGCTCTGCACGGAGCACCGGGCTGGAGAAATTCCAGCAGCGCCTCCTCAGCCGCTTCCAACGCTTCATTAACGGAGGAGAGCAAAAATATTTCCCTAAAAACACAAAAATTTCCCACAACAAACTCGGCTTTTCTGCTGGAAAATGAACAACAAAAAATTCCCCACCCCGAGCTGTGAATTTTCCATTGATCCCAGCCTGGGTTTTGGGCTGTAACTGCTCCGTTTGGGAGCTTTAAAGCTGAAATTTGGGAATTGCGAGGTCACAGGTGAGGAAAAATCCCATTCCCAAAACCTCCCAGAGCAAAGCGCGGGGAGGCTCTTCCCCAGTAATTCGAATTTCAGGAGGATTCTGCGCCTCTCCCTGGAATCCTCCAGCGATCCACTGCCCTGTGCCTCTGTTTCCCCGGCCGCGGCTGGAGCTCTCCGCTCAGACCGGGAGGAAAGGCGGGGTTCGGGGCCGCGGGCTCGGGGCATGGCCAGGAGGTGGCGGTGATGTCCCCGCGCTGCGGTGGCGTCACGGGAGCCGCTCAGTCCGCGGGACCTTCGGCGCTGTCAGCGCGGATCGGGGCTGCGAGCCCCAGGGGCTGCCGTGACCCCAAACTGCCACTGTCACCCCCAACTGGCGCTGTCACCCCCAATTGGCGCTGTCACCCCAAACTCTGCTGTCACCCTGAACTGCTGCTGTCACCCTGAACTGCTGCTGGCACCCCAAAGTGACGCTGTGACCCCGAATTCCGCTGTCACCCCAAACTGGTGCTGTCACCCCGAACTGGCCCTGTCACCCATTCCAGATTTTTCCTGGGCTCAGATCAGGACCAGGATCATTTCTGAGTTCCTCCGTCCAGCCTTTTCCCCGGGCTCAGAGCAGGACTGGAGCCTGCCCAGATCTGTTTTCCCTGCCAGGAGCCCCTCCCGAGGCTGATTTCCCTCCTTTCCCTGTTTCCCAGGGCTCTCCGGTTCCTCCTGGACAGCCGGGGCGTCCGGCACGCGGCCATCGGCCTCTTCTGCTGCGGGGTCTGCCTCTACCTCACAGGCAAGTGACCCCAGTGTCCCCCAGTGTCCCCAGTGTGTGTCCCCCAGTGCGTGTCCCCCAGTGGAATTTTGTAGGGGCTGGAGGGGCCCAGAGATGGGAACGGAGCTGGAGAATTCCTGAGGGGGCTGGAATTTCCACATCCAGGAAATTTCCAAATTTTTCCAAGAATCTCCAAATCCATCCCTTAAGTAATCCCAGCTCCTGAGCTCTTCTCCAGCCTCAGCCACTCCAGGAATTCCCAAATCCATCCCTCCTTAATCCCAGCTCCTGAGCTCTTTCCCAGGCTCTCCTGAGCTGTCCCTGAGCCTTCTCCAGCCTCAGCCACTCCATGAATTCCCAAACCCATCCCTGTTCACTCCTGAGCCCTTCTCCAGCCTCAGCCACGGCAGGAATCCCCAATCCCACCCATTTTCAGGGTGCCCTGTCTGTGTCCCCCGCAGCCCTGGCCCTGTCCATGCTGCTGCTGTTCCAGCTGGAGGCCGGCATCGCCGGCGCCTGCATCCTGACCTCGGGAGTGCTGCTGCTGCTGCTCTCGCTGCTGCCCGCGCTGCTCCGCGCCTCCCGCACCATCTCCTGCATCTCCCGGGGCTCGGAGCCTTCCCAGGCCCTCTGCGAGAACCACTCGGCCCAGCCCGGCCCCGGCACTGCTGCTGCTCCGCGGCCCCGCAGGGAAATCCCCCGGGAATTCTCCTTCCCGCCCTCCCCGGAGCGCAAATCCCGGCCGGGCTCGGCCTCCAGCAGCAACCCGAGCTGCGGGAGCGAGGAATTCCCGAGGGAATCCCAGTGGGAATTGTCCGGGAGCAAGGAATTCCCAAAGGAATCCCAGTGGGAATTGTCCGGGAGCAAGGAATCCCAATGCCAGGACTGGTCCAGGAGCAAGGAATTCCTCAGGGAACCCCAGCGGGAATTGTCCAGGAACAAAGAATTCCTAAGGGAATCCCAAGACTGGTTCGGAATCAAAGATTTCCCCAGGGAATCCCAGGAATTATCCAGGAGCAAGGAATTCCCCAGGGACTCCCAGTGGGAATTGTCCAGGAACAAAGAATTCCAATGCCAGGACTGGTCCAGAAACAAGGAATTTCCAAGGGAATCCCACCGGGAATTGTCCAGGAGCAAGGAACCCCAGTCCCAGGACTGGTCCCGAACCCACAGGACACTTCTGGATTCAGGGCTGCTGCAGGAGCAGGGACACCCCTGGAATGCCAGCAGCAGGGAGATGAGCAATGCCATGTCCCACAGAGCCACCAAGGACTCCACGCTGGTCTGAGGGAAATCCAGGGGTTTTCTCGAGGAGGAGTTGATGGTTTTTTACGGTTTTGGGGTTTTTTTCCCTGGAAAAATTCCTTTATCCACAGGGAAAATCCCAGTGCTGCCTGCCTGGGAACCCAAATCCATCCCAGCTGCGGGAGAGGATCTGGGGAGCAGAAATTGGGATCTTCACCATTTCAGCATTTCAGCCTTTCCCAGCAGATCCCGGCTGATTTCCCTTCTCCTTCCTCCCTGCTCCATCCTCATCCTCAGCACTGGCACGGACGGGGGATTGGGGTGGCCATGAGGGGGTTTGGGGTTGGGAAAAGCAGATTTGGGGTGGGGGAAACGCAGATTTGGGGTGTCACTGCTACTATCCCAAACTCCACCTGTTATCCCAAGAGCAATTCCCCTGGAATTTGAGTCCCATTCCCTGAATCCCCCTGGAAAATCCAGGAGGGATCCACACCAAAAGTCTGCTCCCTCCCAGTCACCTCCAAAGCCAAGAGTGAGAGAAAAAAAAATCCTTTTAAAAATTCTTTTTTTGTAGTATTTTAAGGAATTTTTTCTCCCTTGAAAGCCTAAAATTCCACATTCCTTTGCTCCATGCCCTTGGAAACCCCAGGATAAAAAAGGAGCTCCGAGCTCCCACGGCCACAGGAGAAAAGCTGAAAACCTTCAAAAGGAATTTTCTGGTTGGTTTTTTTTTGAGATTTTTTGTTGGTTTTTTTTTTTTTCCTTTTTATTCTCATCCTCATTAAAACCAAACCCAGCAATTCCTTGGCAGCAGCTGGGAAAGTTTCTCCTTGGAGAATTCCTCCTCAACAAAAGCCTGGAGTGCTGCTCACATTCCAGCTTTTTACACGAAATTCCCAAAGCAAGACCTCATCTGGGAGGTTTTTTGGGAAAAAAAAAAAAAAAAAGCCTGGAAACAAAAAAAGGGAAGGATAAACACAAACCCACCCTGTTTTCCATGGAAAAGAGGTCCCAAAAAGCAGGATTTGGGATTTTCCAGCTCTTCTTTTTTGTGTTTTCCTGGGAATTCAGGGGCTTCTCCACCTGTGCAGCCCCAGAGGTTTCTTGGCTTCTTCCCAAGGTTGGGAAATTCAGGATGAAAAACCAGAAATTCAGGAAGTGCCCGGAGGATTCTTGGCTTGGGGGGTGATGGTGCTGTGGGAAGAAAGAGGAAAAGTCAAATTCAGCAGCCTGAAAATGTGGGAAATTTGGGAAATTAAAAAATTCCCTCTGCTGGTGGTTGCTGGGATAAGGGGCTGTTGTTGGGGCGGCACAGCCATTTCTGCAGCATGAAAAATCCCAAAATATCCCCTCCAAAATCAAAAGAAATCCCCAAAATCCCTCAGATTTTTTTTAAATCCCCCCAAAAAATCCCTAAAATTGCCCCACAAAAAAAATCCAACAAAATAAAAAAATTCTCCCACAAAAAATGAAAAACCCCAAAAATCAAAACAAATCCCCCAAAAAGCCCTCAAAGCTTTCTTTTAAAAGCACAAAAATTCCAAAAATTTTGGGGGTACCTCTTCCCAATCCCTGCATCCCCAAACTCTTCGAATATCCCCAAAAATCTCCCCAAAATCTCCCTAAAATTCCATTTATTCCCACTTTGCCCATAGCAAACAGCGCTGTTTTCCCCCAGGGAATGGGGAGCACGCAGGGATTGCTGTCCTGGACAATCCTGGAATTGTTCCCCAGGATTTTGGGGGTACCTATTCCCAATCCCTGCATCCCTAAACTCCAAACAATTCATATCTCCCAAAATCCTCTCTAAAATTCCATTTATTCCAAATTTTCCCATAGCAAACAGCGCTGTTTTCCCCCAGGGAATGGGGAGCACGCAGGGATTGCTGTCCTGGATAATCCTGGAATTGTTCCCCAGGATTTTGGGGGTACCTCTTCCCAATCCCTGCATCCCTAAACTCCAAACAATTCGGGTCTCCCAAAAACCTCCCTAAAATTGAATTTATTCCCACTTTTCCCATAGCAAACGGCGCTGTTTTCCCCCAGGGAATGGGGAGCATGCAGGGATTGCTGTCCTGGACAATCCTGGAGCTGCTCCCCAGGATTCTGGGGTACCTGCGGCCCTGGGCAGCGCTGAGCTGCTCCTTCATGGCAATGGAGTGCCTGAGCAGGCTGTCGATGCTCTTGAAGTAAACGCTGCTGTCGGTCATGCTCTTGATGGCACTGCAGAGGGGGGAAAGCGGCAAAAGTGGGAAAGGAGGGAGCAGGACGCAGCTGGAGTTCCCAAATCCTGCTTGTTCCCCCTCTAATCCCAGCAAAGTCCAGGTTTGAGGGGTTTTTCATTGGCAGGAAGCTGGGGAAATTTCATAAAGTTCTGAAATTCCTGCCAGGAGTTCCCAAATCCCAACTCATTCCCTGGATCCTGCTGGGTTTCCCAGCCTGGAATTCCAGGATTTTCCCTCTCAAGGTGAAAATCCCAAACCCCAACTCATTCCCTGGATCTTTCCACCCAGAATTTCAGGAATTTCTCTCTCAAAGTGAAAATCCCAAATCCCAACTCGTCCCAATTCATTCCCTGGATCCTTTTGTGTTTTCCAGCCCAGAATCTCAGCCTCAAATTGTTCAAAGCTCATCCCAAATCCTGACTCATTCCCTGGATCCTGCCTGGGTTTTCCAGCCCGGAATTTCAGGAATTTCACCCTCAGGGTGGAAATCCCAAATCATTCCCTGGGTTTCCCAGCCCAGAATTCCAGGATTTTCCCTCTCAAAGTGGAAATCCCAAACCCCAACTCATTCCCTGGGTTTTCCAGCCTAGAATTCCAGGAATTTCCCTCTGAAAGTGGAAATCCCACACCCCAGCTGCTCCCACCCTCATTCCCTGGATCCTGCCGTGTTTCCCAGCCCAGAATTCCAGCAATCCCAGCAATCCCAGGAATTTCCAGCAGTCCCAGCAGCCCCAGCACACCTGCAGGCGTACTCCACGGTGTAAATGGCTCCCTGGCTCTGCTCCTCCCAGCTCTGCATGTCCGACTGTGGGGGGGAACAAACACAGCAGGGATCAGGCAGGACCTGAGCTGGGAACGGGACCCGGGGAGGGAATTCCTGCCTGGGATGGGATGGGATCCATGGGATGGGATGGGATGGGATCCATGGGATGGGATGGGATTCCCAGGGGACTGGGGCTGCCCCTGGACCCCGGGAATGTCCCAGCAGGGAAGGATCCGAGGAGAACCCGGAGCTGCTTCCAGAGGGGGAAGGGGCTCCAAAGGAGCTGGAGAGGGTTTGGGATGAGGGAGGGAGGGACAGGGCACAGAGAATGGATCTGGGATGAGGGATGGAGGAACAGGGCACAGGGAATGGATCTGGGATTTGGGATGGGAATCCCAGGGCACAGAGAATGGATCTGGGATGAGGGATGGAGGAACAGGGCACAGGGAATGGATCTGGGATTTGGGAATTTCAGGGCACAGGGAACGGGTTTAAACTGGAAAGGGGAATCTGGGTGGGATTTGGGCAGGAATTCCCGGCTGGAATTCCCAGGGAAGCTGTGGCTCCCCCTGGATCCCTGGAATGTCCGAGGAAAGTGGGAGAAGGATCCAGGGAAACCTGGGAGCTGCCTCCAGAGCCTCAAGGGGCTCCAGAGGGATTTGGGATGAGGGGTGGAATGCCAGGAGTCAGGGAAGGGATTTGGGATGGAATCCCAAGGCACAGGAAATGGATTTGGGAATTCCGGGTCCCAGGGAATGGACTTGGGATGAGAGATGGAATCCCAGGGATGGGATCCCAGGGCACAGCTCCAGGCCGGGCAATTCCCGCGGGGATTTTGGGGCAGGAATTCCCGGAGGAGCCGCGCCTGCGGGCTCGGTCCCTCAGCTCCCGGGATTCCCGAAACTGGGAATTGGGATTCCCGGGGTTCCCCACCTTGTGCTGGGCCAGCTCGGGCAGCGAGCGCCGCACGTGCTCCTGCAGCCGGAACAGCGCCACCGAGGGCTCGTTGGCCAGCACGTACAGGCTCTCCGTGAACTTGTCCGTCACTGCCGGGAGAAACGGGAAAAAACGGGAAAAAAACGGGATTAATCGGGATACGGGGGGAGCAGGGCTAATCCAGGGACATAGCTCAGCGGAAATCCAGAGAAATCCAGAGAAATCCATGGGAATCTCTCCATGGAAATCCATGTAGATCTCTCCACAGAAATCCATGGGAGTAAATAAAAATACCTCCATGGAAATCCACATAAAACCTCAGAAATATCTCCACAGAAATCCATGGAAATACCTCCATGGAAATCCACAGAAAATCTCGGACATATCTCCGCAGAAATCCACACTAAAATCTCCAAGGGACACCCAGGCGCTCTTTCCCACGGCGGATACAGGCCGGCAATGAAACCACAACAGCCCAGCAGCCAAACCACCGCGGCGGGGCCTCTCCCAGCCCACCCCCGCCGGTCCCGGTCCTGTTCCCGTTCCTGGTCCCGCCTGTCCCGCTCCCGCTCCCCGTCCCACCTTTCTTCACTTTCAGCTGCATCTCCGGTTCCTCCATCCCGCCCGCCGCCACTTCCGCTTCCGCCGGCGCGCCCCCGAAACCGCCCCGGGCACGGAAAACAGCGCCGGCTGGAAACGTGTCCGCGGGACTAACGTTCCGCTTTGCTTCCCCCCCCCCCAAATCGGTGTCACCCCGCCCTGACCCCCCCCCCCCCCCCGGTCCTCGTTGTCACCCGCGGCGACACTCGGTGGCTCCCGGTTTGTAACCGCGGGGACACTCGGTGGCTCCCGGTTTGGCCGTGCTGCCCTGAGAGGCGTCTGGGGGTGTCGCGGCCTTTGCCCCCCCCGGTCCCCAAGGTGTCCCCACGGTGTCCCCACGGTGTCCCCAGGCCGGGCGGTCCCGGGGCCACCCCCTCGTGTCGCTTTACGGCCGCTCTCGGGGGAGGCGGGGCCGGGCCGCGCTCCCCGAACCCCCCCGGGCCGCCCCGGCCCCGGCGGGCCCCGCAGGAACGGGAAGGGAGGGGCGGAGAGCCGGGAGGCGGCGGTGAGACCGGGAACGGGATGAGGAACGGATCGGGAACGGGGATGGGGAACGTATCGGGAACGGGAATGGACCGGGAACGGGAATCGGGACGGGATGGGGAACAGGAAATGAGGGCCGGAGAGCCGGGAGGCGGCGGTGAGACCGGGACCGGGGAACGGGGATGGGATGGGATGGGGACCGGGGACGGGAACCGGGGACGGGAACCGGGGACGGGATGGGGAACGGAGCGGGAAGGGAGGGACGGGAGAGCCGGGAGGCGGCGGTGAGAGCGGGAACGGGATCGGGATCCGGGGATGGGAACGGGGAATGGGAACGGGAACCGGGGATCGGGACCGACGGTGAGGGGCTGGGAGGAGGGTCGGGGAGGTCCCGGGGGTCCCGGGCTCGGAGGAGCTGCGGGAGCGGAGGTTTGGACGGTGGGAAGTGCCGGGAATGGCGATCCCGGGAATGGGGATGGGGACAGAGAAGGGGACACAAGGGACAGGGATGGGAGGGAAGGGGAGATCCCAGAAATAGGGTGAGGAGAGCGAGGGGGACCCCAGGATCGGGATGGGGAGGGCACAGGGGACCCCAGACCCCACTGCGGGTCTCAGGCCCTCGGGTCTGCCCCACACGTCCCTGTTTCCCCCCTCTCCCACCCCATCCCTGTGCAGGGAAGGTGAAGGAGCTGTCGGGGAGCCCCCCTGGAGCCCGGGACCCCCCAGCATTGGGTGGAAAAGGGGGAAAAGGGTGAAGAGGCAGCATGGGGGACAGCGGGGTGCCCTCGGCGTGTCCCCAGCAGGACGGGGACGCGGCGCTGCCGGAGTGTGGGGACGGTGAGTTGGGGACAAGCTGAGCTCAATGTCCCCCTGGAATGTGGGGCCTGTTTGGGGTACCCCGAGCTGGACGGGACCCCAGAGGAGCCCCGGGTGACACCGAGGTGCCACAGGTGGAGCCGAGAGCCCCCAGAACTGCTCGGCTGCTCCCGCGGATTCCCAGAGCCCCAGCGAGGCCCCGGCCCTGGACGGTGAGTGGGGCACAGGGGGGAAACTCCCTGGGAATTCCCACCCCAAAAATCCCGGGAAGGAGCCTCAGATGTGGGAAATCCCAATCCCAACGTTTGGTACCCGCTCCTCCTGCCAGCCCTGAGGGGTCACTGCAAAATCTCTGCTCAAAATCTCATTTTTCTTGGATTTTTCCCAATAAAACCTCGAATCAGGGGCTGGAAACGCTGTGGGATTCCCAAGAAAGAGCCTTAAATTGCTGCTCAAACGTGGAAAATCCCAATCCCAAAGTCTGGTTCCCACTCCTCCTGCCAGCCCTGAGAGGTCGCTGCAGCTCCACGCTGGAACTGGAGATGGGAATTCTCATTTTCCTTGGATTTTTCCCCAATAAAACCTCGGATCAGGGGCTGGAAACACTTTGGGATTCCAAAATAATTAGAAAATAAACCTGAAATTAATGGAGAGTAAATAAGTAATTAAATAAATGGAGAATAAACTAATAGAGAATTAATAGATATAAAATAAACCAGAAATTAATGGAGAATAACCCCGAATTAATGGAGAATAACCCCAAATTAGTGGTGAATAACCCCAAATTAGTGGTGAATAACCCCAAATTAATGGAGAATAACCTGCAGACCCTCTGTGCTGTCCCAGGTTTCCCCCTGAAGCATTCCAACACCTTGACCAACAGACAGCGAGGCAACGAGGTGTCAGCGCTGCCGGCCACACTGGACAGTGAGTGCCACCAGTGTCCCCAGGGGCTGCAGGGGACGTGGGGACAGCAGGGGAGGGGCTGGGGCCACCCTGGGGCAGCTGCCACCCCCCAATTTTGCCGGGAATTCTTTTCCCTGATGGATTTGTCCCTTCCAGCACTGTCCATCCACCAGCTCGCTGCCCAAGGCGAGCTCATCCGGCTGAAGGAGCACCTGAGGAAAGGTTGGTGTCCCCTTGGTTGGTGTCCCCTTGGCCCTGCCAGCACCTGCCAGGTCCCCTCGGGTGACCTCACAGGAATTGGGGCTTTTGGTGGAGGTTTCTCCAGTTTTGGAGATCGGAAAAAACCTTAAAAATCAAGTGCAACCATCCAGCAGCTGGCTGAGGTGGTTACCAGCCCTTACTGGTTGTACTGGTTGAACTGGGAGCCCGGGGGGGCTCACCTGGCTGTGGTCCCCTCCCCAGGTGAGAATTTGGTGAACAAACCCGACGAGAGAGGCTTCACCCCCCTGATCTGGGCTGCGGCTTTCGGGGAGATCGAGACCGTGCGGCACCTCCTGGAGTGGGTGAGGGAGCTCCGGGGCTTCCGGAATGTTCTGGGACCTCTCCTGGGTCCTGGGGCCTGTCCTTGACCTGGGATCTTCCTTGACCCTGGGATCTGTCCTTAACCCTGTCTGGGACCTGTCCTTGATCCTGGGGTTTGTCCTGCATCCTGGGATCTTCCTAAATTCTGGGACCTGTCTTTAGTCCTGGTGTCTGTCCTTGATCCTGGGGATTTGTCCTTGACCCTGGGACCTGTTCTTGACCCTGGGACCTGTCCTTGATCCTGGGGATATCTTTTTTATACTCTATGATCTCCCTCGTTTATTCCAGGACCTCTGTCTTTAATCCTGGGATGTCCCTCCTTCATCCTGGGATTTCCCTTTTTTATTTTGGGGTCTCTTTCTGTTTTTAATCCTGGGATTTCCCTTTTTTATCCTGGGATCTCCCTCTGTCCCCACGGTGGTGTCAGCCCAAGGAGAGTGCCTGTGGGCAGTGTCACCAGGCTGTCCCCGCTGTGGGCAGTGTGACCCAGCTGTCCCTGCTGTGGGCAGTGTCAGTGTCACCCAGCTGTCCCTGTGGGCAGTGTCACCAGGCTGTCCCCGCTGTGGGCACTGTGACCCAGCTGTCCCTGCTGTGGGCAGTGTCAGTGTCACCAGGCTGTCCCTGTGGGCGGTGTCACCAGGCTGTCCCCGCTGTGGGCAGTGTGACCCAGCTGTCCCTGCTGTGGGCAGTGTCAGTGTCACCCAGCTGTCCCTGTGGGCAGTGTCACCAGGCTGTCCCCGCTGTGGGCAGTGTGACCCAGCTGTCCCTGCTGTGGGCAGTGTCAGTGTCACCCAGCTGTCCCTGTGGGCAGTGTCACCAGGCTGTCCCCGCTGTGGGCAGTGTGACCCAGCTGTCCCTGCTGTGGGCAGTGTCAGTGTCACCCAGCTGTCCCTGTGGGCAGTGTCACCAGGCTGTCCCCGCTGTGGGCAGTGTGACCCAGCTGTCCCTGCTGTGGGCAGTGTCAGTGTCACCCAGCTGTCCCTGTGGGCAGTGTCACCAGGCTGTCCCCGCTGTGGGCAGTGTGACCCAGCTGTCCCTGCTGTGGGCAGTGTCAGTGTCACCCAGCTGTCCCTGTGGGCAGTGTCACCAGGCTGTCCCCGCTGTGGGCACTGTGACCCAGCTGTCCCTGCTGTGGGCAGTGTCAGTGTCACCAGGCTGTCCCTGTGGGCGGTGTCACCAGGCTGTCCCCGCTGTGGGCAGTGTGACCCAGCTGTCCCTGCTGTGGGCAGTGTCAGTGTCACCCAGCTGTCCCTGTGGGCAGTGTCACCAGGCTGTCCCCGCTGTGGGCAGTGTGACCCAGCTGTCCCTGCTGTGGGCAGTGTCAGTGTCACCCAGCTGTCCCTGTGGGCAGTGTCACCAGGCTGTCCCCGCTGTGGGCACTGTGACCCAGCTGTCCCTGCTGTGGGCAGTGTCAGTGTCACCCAGCTGTCCCTGTGGGCAGTGTCACCAGGCTGTCCCCGCTGTGGGCAGTGTGACCCAGCTGTCCCTGCTGTGGGCAGTGTCAGTGTCACCCAGCTGTCCCCCTGTCCCCGCTGTTCCCAGGGCGCCGATCCCCACGCGCTGGCCAAGGAGCGCGAGAGCGCGCTGGCCCTGGCCAGCATGGGCGGCTACACCGACATCGTCACCATGCTGCTGGACAGGGACGTGGACATCAACACCTACGACTGGGTGAGGGCCTCTGCACGGCCGGGGGACACTGGGGACAGCGGGGGACAGCGGGGAAAACAGGGACAGCAGGGGAAAGCGGGGACAGCAGGGACATAAGGGACATCAGGACAAGCCTCCCCAGTGCCACCAGCATGGCCAGGGGACACCAGCCTGGAGCTGGGAGAGGCTGGGATGGGATCCCAGTTTGTCCCTGTCTGGAATAGGGGATCCCAGTCCAGAACTGGAAGAGGCTGGAATGGATCCCAGTGAGCCCCAGCTTCAAACTGGGTGAGATTGGAGGTGGAATCCCAGCAGATCCCAGTCCAGAGCTGGGAGAGGCGGGAAGGGGATCCCGGTGAGTCCCAGTCTGTAACTGGGACAGGCCGGGCTGGGTCCCAGCGGGTGGGGCGGCCCTGAGGGGCAGCAGGGAGCAGCAGGGGCCCTGTGGGATCAGCAATGACCTCTCCTCTGTCCCCTGCACCCACAGAACGGGGGCACCCCCCTGCTCTACGCCGTGCGCGGGAACCACGTCAAGTGTGTGGAGGCCCTGCTGGGTGAGGCACAGCTCCGCTCCTGCCGTTCCCCCTCTGGAACTGCTGCTCCCAGAGGGGGGGCAGAGCCTGGGGGCCAGGGCAGCTCCTGGGTCCCCATGGCAGCCCCCATTGCTGCCCCACAGCCTGCGGCGCTGACCTGACCGAGGAGGCCGACTCGGGGTACACCCCCATGGACCTGGCCGTGGCCCTGGGACACAAGAAAGGCAAGTGTCATCCATCACAAAACACGGGGTTTGCCCTCAGAAAGCAGGGATTTCCCTCAGAAAATGGGGATTTCCCTCAGAAAACGGGGATTTTGCCTCAGAAAATGGGGATTTTGCTGGGTGGATTTGGGGTACACCCCCATGGACCTGGTCGTGGCCCTGGGACACAAGAAAGGCAAGTGATCTTCATCAGAAAACAGGGGGTTTGCCCTCAGAAAACAAGGATTTCCCTCAGGAAATAGGGATTTTCCACAAAACCCAGGGATTTCACTCAGAAAACAAGGAGTTTCTCTCAGAAAACTGGGGGAGGTTCTCCCTCAGAAAACTTGGATTTTTCCCTCAGAAAACCAGGATTCTTCCTCAGAGAACAGGGGTTCCCCTCAGAAAACTTGGAATTTTCCCTCAGAAACAGGAGTAAAATGATGACCAGATCCTTCCCAGAGCAGCTTCCCTGACTCCCACCCTCTCCCTGCCCAGTCCAACAGGTCATCGAGAACCACATCCTGAAGCTGTTCCGGAACAAGAAGAAGAAGAAGTGAGGAGGCATCTCCAGCTCTTCCCAGCATCGCCATGGCCTCATCCCACTGCTCCAGGCATGGAGAAATCCAGAATTTCTGCCCTCGTGGACCCCAGGCCTCTCGTGGCTGCCATGCCCAAAATCCAGGGACACTCACTCCAGCCCTGGCTGGACTTGGCTGCTCTGTATTGGAAATAAACTTTAATTGCAGTTAAACCCTATCTGCTGCCTCAGCCCATGCTAATCCCAGGTTTTGGCCAGCCAAGAGTCAGAATTTCCCCTCAATTTTTCCTCAATAACTGTGGAATTCCTGTCCAGAGCTGTGCCTTAGGGAAGCTCCCATAAAGCTGCCACAGCCAGGAGGGAAAATCCTGCAGGGTTCTGTTGCTGCCATCCCAGGCAGCTCAGGGGTGGCCACCGAGGTGACAGCACAGGGAGGGGACATTTCCCTTCTGTCCTGAAGCCAAACCCTCCAGGGCTCATTGCAGGAAAAAGCAGGGATATCTCTTATTGATCCCAATCCAGAAAAAGCAGGGATATCTTATTGATCCCATTCCAGAAAAAAGCAGGGATATCTTATTGATCCCAATCCAGGAAAAAGCAGGGATATCTCTTATTGATCCCAATCCAGAAAAAGCAGGGATATCTCTTATTGATCCCATTCCAGAAAAAAGCAGGGATATCTCTTATTGACCCCAATCCAGAAAAAGCAGGAATACCTTTCATTGATCCCATTCCAGGAAAAAGCAGGAATATCTCTTATTGATCCCGTTCCAGAAAAAAACAGGAATACCTTTCATTGATCCCATTCCAGAAAAAGCAGGGATATCTTTTATTGATCCCATTCCACGCCTGTGCCCAGCACAGCCCCACCGGTGCCCCCTCAGGGGACAGGGACCCCCTCGTGGGGTGTTCAGAGCCCCCAAAGAGGGGACAGACCCCTAGAGGCGCTCCCCCAGCACCCCCAGGTGATAAACCACCACCCTGCCAAAGAAATCCGTGCTGCTCCCAAAGGTGATCTTCAGCTCGTCCAGCACTGTCTCCTGCACCTGGAACCTGTGCAGAGCCCAGTCAAGGAGTAACGCTGGGATCGGGGTGTGGGGGGCACTCCCCCAGCTCTGCTCAGCACCAAAAATCCCCAAAATCCCCCAAAATCCCCAAATCCTGCCTTGCCCCCATCAGCACCCCGGGAAAGGAAAGGATATCTGCATGGCGTGGCTGTCCTGGGGGTACAGCTCCGAGATTTTCACCAGCTCCTCGCCCGTTCTGCAGCCTGGGGAGGGCGAGGGGGAGCCTCAGGTGCTCCCGGGAGCCTCCAGGTGCTGTCCCAGAATGTTCCCTGGCTCCCACAGCACCCAAAGGCTCCCAGTCCCTCTTTATTCACCCCCAGAGCCTCTCCAGGTGCTCCCAGGTGCTGTCCCAAAATGTCCCACTGGCTCCCAAAGGCTCCCAGCCCCTCTTTATTCACCCCCGGAGCCCCTCCAGGTGCTCCCGAGCCCCTCCTGTGCTTTGGGAATTGCTGACAAACGCCCCGAGGCTCCCCCCGAGCCCCTGAGGCTGCAGGTGTGGGTAAGCTGAGGCAGGAGCCCGCCGTGCCTCAGTTTACCTGCCGGCCACCCTCACCTTCCAGCGTGCAGAGCCGGCTGGAGAATCCCCCCTGGAACTGGATGTGCAGCTGGGAGAGCTTGACGGGGCGGGGGAAATGCAGGGTGACCCACTGGGACGTGCCCTGGGGGGACAGGGATGGGCTCACGGGGGGCACGGGGGGGACAGGGGGGTCACAGCCGTGTCCCTGTCCCTGTCCCCGCACCTGGTCCGAGTTCCAGCAGGTCTCCTCGCTGCCATCGAACAGGTGCTGCTTCCCAAAGTGCTTCACGTCCCGGTTCAGCACGGAGCTCACCCTGCGGGGACAGCGGGGACAGTGCCACCCCTTGGGGGACAGCGGGGGGGCTGGGGACAGTGGGGACAGTGAGGACGGTGCCACCCCCCGGGGACAGCAGGGGCAGGCAGGGCTGGGGACAGGGGGGACAGTGCCACCCCTGGGGGACAGCGGGGACAGGCAGGGTTGGGGACAGCAGTGACAGCGGGGACAGTGCCACCCCCCTCCCCGGGGACAGCGGGGACAGGCGGGGGGGCCGGACTCACCGCGTGGCCGTGTCGGGACACACCAGGGACTCCACGGGCATCGCTGCCTGCGGGGAGGGACGGGCGTGAGGGGGACAGCAAAACGGGGATGGGGACACCTGGGTGTGATGGGGACACCTGGGTGTGATGGGGACCCCCGGGACCGCTCCCCGGTCCCGCCGGGGCCGCCCCGCACTCACCGCCCGCCCGCCGCAGGAAGAGGCGGAGCCGCCGCTCCGCTCCCGGTGTCCGGTACCGCCCCCGGCACCGCGGGGACTGCGGGACGGCGGCTCCGTGTGTCCCCCGCCACCTCTCTGTGTCCCCCCTGCCACCCTTCGTGTGCGCCCCCCGGCAAACACCTCGCCCCCGGTTCCGGTCCCGGTTCCGGCCCCGGTACCGCTCCCTGCGGGTCCTCGGGGATCCCCGCTCCTTTCCCGGGGCTGGGGGAGCCCGGGCGGGGGCACGGGGGGCGCGGGGACCTTCCCGGGGCTGCTCTTCTGGTGACACCGGCGGAGAGCGGCTGGGACAGGGACAGGGACAGGGACAGGGACGGGGACGGGGACGGGGACGGGGACGGGGACAGGGAAGGAGCGCGGCGTGGGAGGGATCCCCGCGTTCCTGCATCCCTGAAACCCCGCGTGTCCCTGCATCCCTAAACCTCTCAATTCCTGAGTCCTTGCACATCCGTGCAGCCCAGAACATCCCTGCACATCCCTGCATTCCTGAAGCCCTGCATTCCTGAATTCCTGCATATCCCTGCATCCCCATCCCTGACTCCCTGCAAATCTCTGCATATCCCTGCACATTCCTGCATCCCCGCACATCCCTGCTAATCCCCGCATCCCTGCAGATCCCAGGATCCTTCCACAGCCCAGCAATGCTGCACCTCGCGGCTCAGCCCTGCATTCCTGCTCACCACTGCATCCTTTTTCATCCCTGTTTATCCTGACCTCCCTGCACGGCTCAGCATCCTGAATCCCTGCTCATCCCTGCTCATCCCAGCCCCCTGCATCCCTGCTCATCCCTGCTCGTCCCAGCCCCCTGCCCACCGCAGCCCCCGGCTCCGCAGCCCCGCAGAGCTCCCGGTGCCGGCTGAGTCACGGCGGCCGCGCCGAGGCCGCCTCAGCTCCGTCACCGGCAAAAATAAACGCGGCGAGAGCTGCGAAGCCGCCGCCCCCTTCCCGTCCCCATCCCCATCCAGGTTCCCATCCCCGTCCCCATCCCCATCGAGGTTCCCATCCCCATCCTCGTCCCCGTCCCCATCCCCGTCCCCGTCAAGGTTCCCATCCCCATCCTCACCCCCATCCCCATCCCCATCCCCGTCCCCGCACCGCCCCGGGGCTCGGCCCCAGCTGGGGACGCGGTGCCGCCCGCACACACATGTCACACTCATGTCACACTCATGTCACACACATGTCACACGCCTGTGCGCACACCCGCGGGGACACGCGGCGCAGCAGCACACGCGTGACCGGCTCTGCCTTCCTCCTCCTCCTCCCCCCCCCTCCCCTCCTTCCCCCGTCGAGTTTCGCCGGAGAAATTGGGTCAAAAACCGCAGGAGCCTCATTTGCCCCTGGGCTAATTGCGCGTCTGGGGACAGAGCTGCCACTTCTGCCACCGCCGTGCGCGTCACCTCCTCCCCTGCCCGCCGCCAGCGCCCCCGCCTCATCCCGGTGACACCGAACCCTCCGGTGCTGCGGAACCGGGGGGATCCCGGTGATCCCGAACCCTCCAATGCTCATTGGGAACGGGGAGGATCCCGGTGATCCCGAACCCTCCAGTGCTCATTGGGAACCGGGAGGATTCCGGTGATCCCGAGCCCTCCAGCTCTGCCTGCTCTCCGTGCCTTTGTTATTTATCGAAATTCCCCCGAGCGCACAGGACGGGGCTTTAGGAAGGGTTCGGCACAGCCGGGTGTCGTTTGTCATTCGCGCCAAGTGACAACGTGGTGGCATCTCGGCGCTGGGAAGGAGCAGGGCAGGGTGGCCGTGGGTGCATCCCCCTGGAAGGGGATGGGGAAATTATATAATTACATTAATTTATTTTAAGGCTGGTTTTAAGCCACAAACCGGCGTTTAGTCCCCAGGGCTGAGGGCACCGGGGTCGCTGCATTGTCCCCAACAGTGTCACCACACCGCGAGTGCCTGCCACGTGTCACAGCGCTGTGAGCGGGTGTGAGGGTGGCGTGTGCCCTTAACGAGCTTGGCTTTGCTGCCGGGAGATGCCGCTCGGTGTCCCCGCACGGGACAATTAGCGCCCTGGCTAATTAATGAGCCAGCGCGGCCTCCTGCCAGCCCTGCCGCTGATTGTGGCCAGGCCCGGTGTCCCCGTGTCCCGTGCCAAAATCAGCGCAGGGGTGAGCTGGTGGCATCGCCACCCGGGGGTGGCCAAGGAGAGCCCGTGTCCCCTCCGTGTCCCCTCCGTGTCCCTCCCGTGTCCCCTCCCGTGTCCCGCTCGTGTCCCAGGTGCGGGGCGGCGCTGCCCGAGGGGAAGGAGCGGGTCCGGCTGCCGGAAAGGGGGAAGGGAAGGAGGCAGTTGCCATGGAAACCGCAAATAAAATCGATGCCCGCCGCCGGTGGGCTCGGAGCGGAGTCGGGCCCGGCCAGGGCAGCATCGCCGCGTCCGGGGGTCGCCGCAGCCCCTCCTGTGCCCTCCGTGCCGTGCGCGGGGATGAGGGGACAGGGACAGCGCGGAGGGGTCGCACCGTCCTGGGCCACCTCGCCCCGTCCCCTCCGCAGCCCCGGCTGAGCCGTCCTGCCCAGCCCCAGCCCGCAGCTCCGCCAGGACGGGCACAGCCGCCGCTTCTCCCCAGCCGCGGATCCTCCTGTCCGTCCGTCCGTCCGTGCCGGTGCCGGTGCCCCGAGCGCTGGCCCCAGCTGCGGCGGCGGCGGCCTCGCTAATGAGCTGCAGCGCTGATGAATGTGGCAGCTCTGCTGGAACGGCCGTCATTAGCCGCCGGCGGAGCTGAGCGGAATAACAAGCGGCTCCGGGGGCTCGGCGCGGGGTCCCCCCGAGCCCCCCGCGGCCGTGCGGGGACACCGGGGCCGCTCCGTGCCCGGCGGGGCTCCGGGACCCCGCGGTGCCACCGCCCCGAACCGGAGCGGCTCGGGACGCTCCCGGCCGCGCCACCCGCCCGGTTTGGCTCTGTCCTGTGGGGGACAGGGTGGCCACCACAGAGGAACCCCTCCGTCCCCAGCGGTGTCCCCACATCTGTCCCCACGCCGCGGGCTGGCCGCGTCGCCCCTCTGTTGTGACCTGGCTGAGTCCTACCAAACTCACGTCACTCGTGTCACCAAACTCGGCCCCCACGCTGTCCCCTGGGGGTTTGGGGACACTGGAGCAGAGGGGACCCCCCAGCCCCCGGCCGGAGCAGCCGCGGGGTCCCCGCGGGTCCCTGCCCCTCGCAGCGGGCTCCCCTCGGCGCTGTCACCGCACCCCGACCGCCCGCGGCCGCTCCCCGCGTCCCTGTCACAACAAAGGAAAACATCTCCGGATGGAAACTGCGGGAGGGTCGTCACGGCAACACTGCTGCAGGATTTCACCAGAATCCCGGCGTTCGGGCTCAAAAAGACGCGCAGGGCCCGCGCTCCCCGCGCAGCCGCCGCCGCCGATCCTGCCGGGCTTGGGGCCCGGGAGCGGCACCGAGGGACGGGGACACCCCAATTGCGCTGTCCTGGGACACTCCAACCGCGCTGTCCTGGGCCACCCGCGGGGCTCGGGGCTGTGGGGACACGGCGACAGCAGGCTCTGCCTCGTGGGAGCAGCTCGGGGATGGATGTGGGGCTGGAGGGTGCGGGGACCCCACCCTGGGTGAGGACGGTGACACTGGGACAGCCCTCGGTGACAGTGCTGGCTCTGCCACCCCGGGCAGGGTGCTGGGCTCAGAGGGTGACACTGGGACAGCCCTCGGTGACAGTGCTGGCTCTGCCACCCCGGGCAGGGTGCTGGGCTCAGAGGGTGACACTGGGACACACTCGGTGACAGTGCTGGCTCTGCCACCCCGGGCAGGGTGCTGGGCTCAGAGGGTGGCACTGGGACCCGCTGGAGTCCCCTCCCAGCTGCAGGGAGGACGCTGGGACGCCGGACTGGTGCCAGGGCAGGAGCTGGTGCCCAGCGCGGCCAAGGGCCCGGAGCAGCGGCCGAGGAGGGGGGAGAGGTGTCGGTGACACCCCGGTCCCCAGCCGCGCTGGCGGTGGCTGCTGTGACACTCATCTCCATTCATCTCCTCTTGAGGCCCGAGCTCGGCTCAGCCACCGCCAGCGCCGTCCCTGCCACCCAAATGGCCGTGGCACATCCCCGGAGCTCTGCCGGCACTCGGTGTCCCCTGGGGGCGTCCAGGGGTGTCCCCTCCCTCACCTCTGGGTCCCCGAGCGGCTCCGGGGCCCTCTCGAGGGCCGGGGTCGGGCTGTGAGCAGCTGCGGGGGAGCTTTGTGGGGTGGGTGACGCATGGGACGTGCTGGGCCCAGGATGAGCCCATCGATCCCTGATGGGATTCCCAGGTGAAATTCAGGAGGACAAAGAGCAGGAGGAAGGATTTGGGGCTGCGGGAGGAAGGATTTGGGGCTGCGGGAGGGAGGATTTGGGGCTGCAGCAGGAAGGATTCGGGGCTGCAGGGCCCAGCTGCGGTGGGGGGCACCAGGTGAGGATTTCCGAGCCAGTCCCACCTCATGGACCACTCCTGGCCCATCCTGTCCTCCCAACCACCCCAAAACCACCTCGGGGTGCCCCTCCAAAGATCCCTGTGGTGTCTGGATCCTCCGGGAGCGGGAGGAAGCCGCGATATCAAACCCCTGGACCCTCTCCCCAATTTCCCCTGGCAAAGCCCGCGGGGACGGCGCCCCCCGTCCCTGTGCCCCCGGCCCGGGCACCTCCACGGGCCGGGCCCGGCAGCTGCAGCCGCATAAAGGAGGGGAACAGAGGAGCTCTGTGAGCCGGCAACGCCGGGATTGTGCGGGAGCAGGGGGGGCTCACAAAAGGCAGGAAACGCCACCGAAAGTCTGGCACAATGGAGTCGGAAATGAGAACTTTGCTCTCGGGTTTCCACGGATCCATCCTATGGGCGAAATGGGGAGGGGGGATTCTCTGCTCTCGGTGCCAAGTCGCGGGAGACAGGCTGGCATTCTTCGGTCACCGGCGGGAAGGTGACCCCCTACCCACCCCCCCAAAACCCCCCCAAAGTCCAGTGATGGTTTCCTTCCCCCTTTTGGGGGTCGTTTCTGGTAGCGCAGCTCTTCAGAGAGTCTCAGCCATTTTGAGGGGGTTTGGGGCTTTTTGAAGTTTTTATGCACCCACAGCATCTCCCAGCCCCCCTCACCCCATTCCGGCCCCACACGGGGGTGCGGGGGGCTGGGGTTGCGCCCTGTATGGCTTAACGGGAATTTTGGGGTGTGGAGGGGCTGGAAGAAGCTCCCCTATTTGGAAACACCCCCAAAAAATCAAGGCTGGGTCCCCCCTTTTCCTGCTTCCATTACAGCGACCCCCCCACATCCCCTCAGGGACCCCACCCCCATCACAGCCCCCCCCACTTCCGCGGCCCCCCATCTCTCTCAGCGCCCTCTTAGAGCCCCCCCCTCACTGTAGGGACCCCCCAGCCCCTTCCGCGCCGCGCGGGGCGCAGGGGGCGGCCCCGCTCCATGGGGAGGGGGCGGCCCCGGTTTGGGGGGGCCGGCCCGGGTTCGGGGGGGCGGCGCATGCGCGGCCGCCCCTCGCCCTGCGCCGGGCAGCGGGAGCGGGCGCGGGTTCTCCGCCGCTGCGGGCGGGTGCGGGCGGCGGCACCGGCGGCACCGGCGGGGGGGGCCCGGCCCGCGCCAGCCGCGATTGGCCCGGCCCGGCCCGGCTCGGCCCCCTCCGGGGGGGCCCGGCCCGCTGCCCCCGCTCCGAGCGCCGCTTTTAACCCCCGGTGCCGGCGGGGCTGCTCGGCTCTACCGGCGGCGATGAGTCCCGGCGCGCCCTGAGCACGGAGCAGGTACGTGCGGCACCGGCACCGGCACCGCCCCCGCCGCGCGCCGGCCGTGGGCACGGTGATACCGGCACGGCTACGGCAGGAGCGGGACGGATCCGCGCTGGGGGCGGGGATGGGGATGGTGACAGCGACACCGACACCGGTACCGGCACCGCCACGGTCGGATCCGGGCCGGATACGGGCTGGGGACGCGGCGGGGCTGCGGGGGCTGCAGGAATGCGGGGCCCGGTGGCGGCGGTGGGTACGGTGACACCGGCAGCGCTGCGGGGACGGGGATGGGGGCGGTGACACCGGCAGCGACACCGGCGCCACCACGGCAGGAGCGGGATGGAGCCGGGTGGGGAATGCGGGCGTGGGGGGGCCCGCGGCGGGGACGGGGACGGTGACACCGGCGGGGCTGTGGCAGGATGGGGATGGATCCGGGCTGGGGACGTAGCGGGACGGGGGACACTGGGGGTGACACTGGGGGCCGGGGTGACGGAGGGTGGCCCTGGCATGGGGAGATGCTGGGGACACTGAGGGGACCCTGTCAGGGATGGGGTGCAGGGCTGGGGACAGCGGGGCCGGAGGGGACACTGCGGATCGGGGCACTGGGACAGCAGGACAATGGGGGCGTGGCCAGCGCCGCTGTGGGGACACCGGGACAGGGGGACACCGGGACAGGGGACACTGGGAGCACCGGAGCTCTCAGGGGCTGGGGGGACACTGAGGGGGGCTGGGGATCACCGGCACTGGGGACACGGGACAGGGACACGGTGCCCTGAGCCCCCAGGAGCTGGCAGCGACACAGAGGACAAGGAGAGGGGTGGCAGGACAGGATGTCACAGCCTCGGTGTCACCCCCTGGGTGTCACTCCCTGGGTGTCACAGCCTGGGCCGCCCGGTTCCTTGCTGGTGACACTGGTGGCTCCCTGGCGGGTCGGGAGCCGGGAATGTCCCTGTCCCGGGGTGGCAGTGCCATGGCCGGGATGTCCCCAGCACGGGGACACAGCAGGGATGGGTGGATGTGGGGCGCGGGGCTCGGCAGCCCCACAATCGGTGGGACAGCGGTGCCTGGATCCGAGCCAGGCCCGCCGGCCCGGGGTGTCCCCCCTGTTCTGTCCCCCCGGTTCTGTCCCCGGCGCGGTGTCGGGAGTCGCTCCCGGCGTGTGGCCGAGCCCCGGCGGGGCTGGGATGGAGCCCCGGGCCCGCAGCGATGCTGCACCGGCTCAGGGGCTTTGCAGGGAGAGGCAGAAAGCGGGGCAACAAGAATAAATAAATCTTTAAAAAAATGTAAAAAGAGGAGCAAATTCTAAAATAAAGGCTGCAGACTGTCTGCCTAATAAAAATCGCACCGGCAAAGGGCCCATATTGGCCGGGATCGCAGCTTCCCGAGGTGCTAATTTATTCCGGCAGGCTGGGGGGAGCGGGGAGCATCACGTTGCCTGTGAGATGTGACGGCAGCGAGGTTTGCAGAATTCCTTTGTTGTGGGCAGAGAGGAGGGGACGCGGAGCCGGCCCCGCCGCCGGGCTCCCGCCGCGGCCCCGGGGCCACCGGCAGGACAGCCCGGGGCCAGCGGGGCACGGCAGGACAGCCCGGGGCTACCGGGGCACGGCAGGACAGCCCGGGGCCAGCGGGGACACCGCGGCGATGGGAGGGAGGTGGGTGCTGGGGCGGTCTGGGGGCTCGGGGTTGGGGCGCAGGAGCGGCCCCCGGGGTGGCAGCGGTGAGGGGGGACACGCTGGGGCGTGCGCACAGCGATGTCGCCCGTGCGGTGGTGGCAGCGCTGGCCGGAGTGACCCGCCGGGGTATCGGAGGTCAGGGGGGCTGCGGTGGGCTTGGGGACAGCCGGTGGGCTTGGGGACAGCCGGTGGCACCGCCGGGGCTGGGGGTCGCAGGGCGGGGACAGCAATGTCCCGCTGCATCCCGGCTGGGTGGGCAGTGCCCCCCTGTCCGGCCACCCCTGCCGTGTCCCCAGCGCTGTCCCCAATGTCCCCGCGGGGTCCCGAACCCGCCCCCGGCCCAGCCCGGGCTCGGGGCACAGGAGACCCCCGCACTGACCGGGTGGTCCCGGCGGCCTGTGTGGAATTAAGCTCGGTTTCAGCTCAAGCTAATCGCCAGCCCCGGCTTTGCATATTCATGAGCAGGATGAATTATTCATGAGGTGACAGCGAGTGACAGATGTGAAAATGTTCGCCCGGCTTTGGGGGGATTTGGGGGGGCGTTTTGCACCGGCGTTATTTTGGATTCCTCTCGTCTGCCGTTGCCCCGGTTGGGCCGGGACACCGAGGGGACAGGGACAGGGATAGGGACAGGGACAGGGATAGGGACAGGGACAGGGACCCGCTCCTTGTCCCCGTGGGGGCCGGGACACGTGGCCTTGGGGACGTCACTGTGACACCGCCCTGACTGCGGGGACAGACCCCGCTGTGACATTCGGGCTTGGGTGGCCGAGGCCACCTCCGTCCCTCGGCAGCGCTGTGCCACCCCGGGCCCTGTGCCACCCCCGGGCCCTGTGCCACCCCCGGGCCCCGCTGCCGCCACCGGGCACTGCCTGGTGACACCCGCACGGCCCAGCCCGCGCAGCTTCCCCCGGGAATCCCGGCTGGATCCTGCCGGGGACCCGCGATCCGTCCCGGGCCGGTCCCGGGGCCACCGCGGGGCCGGGATGTGGCGGTGCCACCTCAGGGATGTGGCGGTGCCACCCCGGGCAGCCCCAACCCCGGCGGTGCCGCCCCGTGGATTCACGGATGGCGACGAGCAGGGAGCGATTCCGCCCCGGTGACACTGCCCGGCCGTGGGGACACCGCGAGGGGTGGCCCTGGCCCCGCAGGGCTGGCGCGTCCCGCGTCCCGTGTCCTGACCCGGGATAAACTGTTTGCTGTCCAGCACCTCGCCGGGGCTGCGGGCACGGACAGGGGCACAGCCACGGCCAGGTGTCCCCTGCGTGTGCCGAGGGCAGCGGGGACAGCCGCGTGTCCCCAGAGGAGCGGAGCCGTGTCCCGTCCCTGCCGCGGGGACACTTTGGGGACAGCTGAGCTCTCCCAGGTGCTGCCGGCCCGGCCTTTGCCGCTTCTCCTGCTGCGAAAGCAAATCCGCAGGAGCGCTGATGGCAGGGGAGCCACGGCTCAGCCAATAATTTATATTTTTTGCCGAGGAATTTCTATTTTCCCCCTGGAGCGGGAGGAACGGGCAGAGTTTGGCGCTGACCCGGCGGAATTCCCGTCCCGGAGCGCCCCGAGCGGGGCTGCGGGAGCCGCTGGCGCTGCCCCGGGGCTGCTTTGGGCTTTTCCAGCCCCCGGGGGATTCACCCGGCCAAAGGCGCCCCCGCAGCCCCTTCCCGAGCCCGGAATGTCCCAGGTCACCTCCCTGTCCCCTCCCAGCCCGTGGCTCTGGGACAGAGCGCCCCGCGGAGGGGAAGGGGCTGCCAAGGCTTTTTTCTCGAGGAGAAATCAGATTAAACGCGGTTCTGCATCCCCGAAAAGGCCTTTGCCAGCGGGGGTCTCCTTTCTTCTCGCCATTTCTCTCTTTCTTTCTATTTTCGTCCCATAAAAGCACAGAAGGGACGGGGGGAGGCACCGAGGGATGAGAAATGGAGTATCGGGGGTGGGGGGTGAGGCACCCTCGGTTTGGGGCTCCCGGTGCCCCCAGATCCGTGCCTGGCACAGGGCAGGGATGGGGGAAAGCAGGAGCAGCGAATTCCAGCTTGGATCTGGGGGGACTCGGGGTTCGGCTCGGGCTCGTGGGCACGTGGTGGCACTTTGGGGTTGGTTTGGGGGGGCTGGGGGTGCCCCCGGGGCCTCTGCCCGGCCGGCTGGGCACCCCAGGGCTGAGGGATGGCGGCGGTGGGCGCTGGGTGATGGCTGTGCCGGGTGATGGTTGTGGTGGGAGTTGTTTGATGGAACTGGGTGGTGATGGCGGGCACAGGGTGATGGTGATGGGCACTAGGTGATGGTGACAGGCTCTGAGTGATGGTGACAGGCCCTGGGTGATGGTGACAGGCTCTGGGTGTCCAGGATGGCACGGCCTGGCGGGTCCGGGATGTCACGGCCTGGCACGGCCTGGCAGCCCCGCTGTCCCCGCAGGTCCAGGATGGTCCCTGTGATGGGCGATGCCGCCTGCTGGGTCCTGCTCGGGCTCTCCCTGCTCCCCATCGCCGTCCTGGGTAAGTGCTCGGCGGCCGGGGCTCATTAGGAAACGAACGGCAATTAATGATGGACTCTGGGCCGGTTCATCAATAAATCCCGGGCGGGATTAGGGAGGGAGAAGCCCCCAGGCCCCCTCCCTCCGCTGGGATCGCTGCAGGCGAGACCGCAAATCGCTAAATCCCCCTCCCCAGGCCCGGCTGAGCCCCCCGGGGATTTGCCGCGGCTCGGAGCCGTGTCCCCCCCTGTCCCCCGCGGCTTCGGGGACACCGCAGCTTGGGGGCTTTGGATTGGGGGCTTTGTATCCGGGGGTTTGGATCGGGGGGCTTTGGATCGGGGGGCTTGGGATGGGGGGGCTTTGGGATCGGGGGGGTTTGGATCGGGGGTTTGGATCGGGGGCTTTGGGACCGGGGAGCTTTGGATCGGGGGGTTTGGGATAGGGGGGGTTTGGATCGGGGGTTTGGATCGGGGGGTTTGGGGTCGCCCAGCCCGGAGCGCTCCCTGAGCCCCGATGAGCCGAGGGCTCGGAGGGAGGGGGAGGAAGGCCCCGGGGGGAGGAAGGCCCCGAGGGGGGGAGGGGGATTAGTGGCTGTCCCCGGCCCCCCGCTGGTCCCTGACCCCACTGGGGGTGCAGGGGGGCCCGAGACGCGGGGGATTTGCGGCGCTGGGAGCCCGCACAGGCTGGGACGGGATTAGCGCGGGAGGATGAGGAGGAGGAGGATGAGGAGAGGGCGGTCACGGTCCTGCCGCGCTTTATCCCAGCACGGGGGGGCTTTTCCCCGGTGCCACCGGGCTCGGGGGCGTCCTGGGCGAGCGATCCCCCTGCGCTGCAGGGCCAGGCGCGCTGGTGTCCCCCGGCAGCCCAGGGGCACCCATAGGTGCAGAGCAGCGCCCTCACCCTGGGGACACCCCGAGGGGCCGGGCAGCACCCCGGGAAGGGGCGCGGACCCCCCCGAGTGGGGGTTCAGCTCCAGAGGGGTCACGGCCGGGCTGCAGCCGCTCGATGGGGCGGCCGCGCTTTATCCCAACCCATCCTCCCGTTCCTGCCCCTCCTGGGGGGCTCAGCGGAGCCTCCCGCGCCCTGCCATGCCCCCAACCCTCCGTGCCGTGCCAACCCCCCGAGGCAGCCGCGCCGCCGTCCCCGCAGGCTCGCAGGACGAGGGGAAGGTGATCCACATCACCCGCGTGCAGCACCGGGCGGTGCGCGTGGGGCTGGGCGAGCCGGCGACCCTGCCCTGCCTGTTCCGGCTGCACCCCCCGGCCCCGCCGGGCCCCGGCGAGCCCCCGGAGCCGCCGCGCGTCAAATGGAGCAAGGTGCGCTCCGCCGGCGGCCGGCGGGAGGACGCGCCCGTGCTGGTGGCCAAGGAGAGCGCCGTGAAGGTGGCGCGGGCCTACGAGGGCCGGGTGGCGCTGCCCGGCTACGGCCGCGACCGCTCCAACGCCTCGCTGCAGCTGCGGGCGGCCCGCGCCAGCGACGCGGGGCTCTACCGCTGCGAGGTGGTGGCGGGCATCGACGATGAGCAGGACCTGCTGCCGCTGGAGGTGACGGGTGAGCGGGCACGGCCATGGGCACGGCCAGGGGGCACGGCCATGGGCACGGCCATGGGCACGGCCAGGGGGGCGCTGGGGCGGTCGTGCAGCCCCTGGGGCTGAAGGAGGGTGGTGGGTTGGGCATTCAGGGTGAGCTGGGCACCCCATGAGAGCTGGGCACCCCATCTGTTCCCTGCACCCCATGAGAACTGTGAGCCCCATTTATTCCCTTTACACAATTTATTCCCTGCACCCTATTTTCTCCCCGTACCCCACGGCAGCTCTCCCCTCCATGTACCCCCTACACCCTACAAGCCGTGTCCCAAGTGCCCCATGGCAGCTGGGCACCCCATGAGCCCAAAACCCGACCCAGTTCTGCATCCCCTGCCAATCCTGCATCCCGTGCCAGCCCTGCGTCCCCCCAGCCGTGTCCTGCTGCCCCATGTCCCCTCTCGCTGTCCCCAGGCGTTGTGTTCCACTACCGGCCCGCGGGCGAGCGCTACGCGCTGAGCTTCCCCGCCGCCCGCCGCGCCTGTCGCGACAACTCCGCCGTCATCGCCTCCCCCCAGCACCTCCAGGCCGCCTTCGAGGACGGCTACGACAACTGCGACGCGGGCTGGCTGAGCGACCAGAGCGTGCGGTGAGAGCGCGGGCCGGGCCAGCCTCCAAACCACCCCCCAGAGCACCCCCAAACCACCCCTGCCCACTCCGGGCACCCCCGGGCCATCGCCTGGCCACTCTGGGAACCCCCAGGAACCCCCGGGGACCCTCGAGAACCCCCGGGGACCCCCAGGGACCCCCGGGCACCCCGGGCCGCCTTCTCGGCCGAGCCCCGCGCCCACCGTGCCCCTCCCGGCAGGTACCCCATCACCCTGTCCCGGCCCGGCTGCTACGGAGACCGCGAGAGCCTCCCCGGCGTGCGCAGCTACGGCCGCAGGGAGCCCGAGGAGCGCTACGACGTGTACTGCTACTCCCGGGAGCTGCGAGGCAAGGGCTGCGCGCCGGGAGGGTGCCCGGGGGGTCCCGGGGGGTCCCTGCATGCCCACGGCATGGCCACGAGCACGGCTGGGTGCCCAGGGGTGTCTGTCCCTGTTCTTTCCTGGCCATGGTGTGGCTGGGTGTCCGCGTTGTCCCTCTGCGGTCACAGTGTGGCTGGCTGGGTGCCCAGGGATGTCCCTCCCTGGCCATGGCATGGCTGGGTGCCCAGGGGTGTCCCTTTGTGGCCATGGCATGGCTGGGTGCCCACAATG